TGGGCTGCGGTATATCCACGATGTCTGGGCGTGTATCGTAGAGATTCCGATAGCTCTTTGGCTGCTGTGGCAGCAGCTGGGGATTGCGAGTATTGCCCCCATTGTGGTGGTGGTTGGTGGGTTTGATCGTTCTCTTCCCGCTGGGTGGTGATTGTGTTCGAATCGCTAATGTCCTCGGCAGTGTGCATGTTGTTGTGCGTCTTGATATCTGCTCTGGCTGGACCGCGACAAGAGGTCTGGCTGCAGGCCATCGAGAAGCGCGTGGACATTACGGCGCAGGTGCTGGGCTCGATGAAGGGGGTCCGCACCGCCGGACTGACGGACAAGATCTACAACATCGTGCAGAACATGCGTTCGGACGAGGTGAAGCTGTCTGAGCGATTCCGTCGTCTGTTGATTCTGGTGGTCGGCGTGGGTGAGTGTTTTGCGTCCCAAAGCCCCTGAATGTCACAATACAACACTACACCCCGCTAACCCTTTCCTTCTCTTTCCCTTCCCTAAAAAGCATACAGCAACGTGTCCATCTCCCCGCTGGCCTCGTTTCTAATCTACTCCCTGAACGCCCGCCACAGCAACGGCACCGAGACCCTTACGCCGGCGCGGGCCTTCACCTCGCTCACCCTCTTCACCCTCCTGTCCACGCCAATCTCTAACCTAGTCGAAGCCGTGACCGGTATCGCCACTGCCGTCGGCTCCATCAAGCGCATCAACCTCTTCCTCCAGTCGCAACCCCGCGACGACGATGCCCAGAAGCCCCACCTCCCTACCATGGCGGCCAGCACGCAAAGCACCCTCACCTCGCACTACTCCGAGAAGCCCGGCTGGAAGGAGAAGGAGATGGAGATGACCCCTATTTTCCCGGCCAGCGTCTCCAGTCGCGAGGCCCTGCCCCCCTACGAGCTTCCTTCGTCACCCGGGGGACTGGCGTGCCGGGCTGATGCTCGCAGTGCGGGCTGGGAGGAGGGCAAACCGACTGTGATCAACGAAGCCAGCTTCACCATCCGTCGCGGGACGCTCAATATGATCGTCGGGCCGGTGGGCTGTGGCAAGTCGACTTTCGTGCGAATGTTACTGCGCGAGACCCCCGTCGCCACCGGCACGCTGCAGATTGAGACCAGTGCCATCGCGTACTGTGCGCAAGTGCCCTGGCTGACAAACCGGAGTATGCAGGAGAATATCCTGGGCGAGTCGTTGTTTGATCTCGACTGGTATAACACCGTCGTGCAGGCGTGTGCCCTAGAGGAGGATATTCTCGATTTGCCCAATGGGGATATGGGGTCGTTGGGGTCCGGGGCGACGAAGCTGAGTGGAGGACAGAAACAGCGTGTGGTATGTCTAGATTTCCCATTTTCATTTTTAGTCCTTGTTTTTTTTTTTGAGATGCCGGGAGGGCTGGTGGAGGGCTGATGGTATGGTGCATGTATAGGCTCTGGCGCGTGCGGTCTACTCACGCGCGGAGTTGATCATTCTGGACGATGCGTTCAGCGGACTCGATCGTACGACAGAAGAGACTATCTTCCGAGCGCTTCTGGCCCCTGGAGGTTTGTTGCGGCGGATGGAGACGACGATTGTGATGACGAGTAGTAGTGGTAGGTTTGATTCGTTCATTACTAACTCTTGGCCCCCTTGTGCCATGTCGTATACGAGGATGTCTGGACTGACGGTTTGTTTTCTTTTTCTTTTCTTTTTGCACAGCTTCGAACCTCTCAATGGCCGATCACATCATCGCCCTGTCAAAATCAGGTACCATCCTCGAACAAGGGTCCTACAAGGAGCTGCTCGACCGTTCCGAGAGCTATATTCAAAGTCTGTCCGTGTCCGAGGGGAAGAAACGCGTGATCGGTGACGAGGAGCAACAGCAGCAGCACCAACAGCAACAGGATACCACCGCGGTCGTTGAGCAGGTCACCACGAAGACCAAGGCGCGGCCTCTTTCGCTCGCCACGTTGAATCTCGAAGCGCCGCTTCCTAAGGATGGGCGACGCACGGGGGATACGTCGGTGTATTGGTACTATATGCGAGTGCTGGGGTTCTGGCGCTCGTTGGTGTTTGTCTTCCTCATCTGTTGCTATGTCGTTGGAATCACCTTCCCTTGTGAGTTTCTGCTTCTGCTTTGGCTCGAGGAAGAATGTTGTTTGAGCTAACGGATGCAGCAATCTGGGTGGAATGGTGGACGGCGTCGAATATGAAGCATCCCAACTCACAGCTCGGTTACTGGCTGGGCGTTTATGGGTGGATCGCGGTGATGGCGGTTTCCACGCTTGTTCTGGCATGTTGGCATTTGATGTCGAACTTGGTGGCTCGTGCTGCTAGGGGGTTGCATGCTCAGCTTTTGAAGAGTGTTCTGGAGTATGTTTTATCTCTGTCATGCTTGGGAATGCGCTTGTGTGGTGTTGTTGCTGACCAGAGATTCAGTTCCCCGATGTCTTTCTTTCATACCACTGATGTGGGACATACGACTAACCGGTAAGTGCTTTGATGAATGAGTTGCTTCTCGTTTTCGTTTCTTTTTTTCTCTCCATGCATGCTGACAGTGCTGCAGATTCAGTCAGGACCTCCAGTTGATTGACATGGAGCTTCCTCTGGCCGTTCTGAATACCATTCTCACCTTCTTCACCTGTGTGGCTCAGGTGGTTGTGGTGTGTGTCTCCACCAGCTATATCGCCGCCACTGTTCCGGCTTGTCTGCTGGCATTCTACTTTGTCCAACGGTTCTATCTCCGCACCTCGCGGCAGATCCGTTATCTGGATATTGAGGCCAAAGCGCCTCTGATCACTCACTTCCTCGAGACCCTCAGCGGGCTCACCACAATCCGCAGTTTCCACTGGGAAACTGAGTACCGCAAACAGAACGCTGAGCTGATCAACTCCAGCCAGAAGCCGTTCTACCTGCTCTTTGCCATTCAGCGCTGGCTGGAATTGGTGATTGCGCTGCTAGTGGCCGGGTTCGCTGTCGTGCTGGTGGCCGTTGCAGTCGCCACCCGGGGGAGACTCAGTGCCGGGTTCATTGGTGTTGCCCTGTTGAATATCGTGACGTTCACCGAGAACCTGCAGGGACTGATCATGCAGTGGACTGTGCTGGAGACATCGATTGGAGCCGTGTCGCGCGTCCGACACTTCCAACGCACCGTGGAATCGGAGCATCTGGACTGCGAGTCATTCGTTCCCCCAGCCGCATGGCCTGAACACGGAGCAATCGAGATCAACAATCTTGTAGCCTCATACAAGTTCGTTCCCCTCCCCCCCCTGCCATCTGTTGTATCCCCTACATATCTGACGATGTCACAATGCAGAAGCTCCACCAGCCGCGCCCTCGACCACATCTCCCTCTCCATCCGCCCCGGCACGAAAGTCGGCATTTGCGGACGCAGTGGAAGGTATGAGAAATCCCCTCTTAACACATACCCTCTCCGTATGAATCCCTCCCTAACTCAAACCCCTCAAAAAAAAAACAGTGGCAAATCCTCCCTCATCTCCTCCCTCTTCCGCCTCATCGAACTCTCGAATGGCACCATCACCATCGACGGCCAAGACATCACCACCCTCCGCCGCAACAACCTCCGCGCTCACCTCAACTGCATCCCCCAAGAACCCTTCTTGCTACCGTCGTGCTCCGTCCGTCTAAACATCGACCCCGGAAACAACAGCATCCAAGACGAGATTCTAATTGACGCCCTCAAGAAAGTCCAAGTCTGGGACGTGGTCGACGCCCTCGGCGGGCTAGACGCTACCATTAACCCCGACAGCTTCTCGCCGGGACAGAAGCAATTACTGTGTTTTGCGAGAGCGATGGTTCGCTCCGAAGGGAAGATTTTGATTTTGGATGAGGCGACGAGCAGGTTTGTTTGCCCCCATAGCGCTTATTTCTTATCGGGAGTGATCGTGGCTGACCTGGCGTGAAATAGTATCGATACGCAAACCGATGAGATCATGCAAGGCCTGATCAGGACGGAGTTCGCGTCGCATACGGTCATCGCGATTGCGCATCGACTAGAGACGATTGTCGATTTCGACGAGGTGATTGTTATGGAGGCGGGTCAGGTCAAGGAGCAGGGAAATCCGCAGAAGCTGTTGGAGGAGAAAGGGGCTTTTGCGGAGTTGTATTGGGATTCGGGACGGGGTTCGAGTCGGACGCCGATGCAGTTTTAGTTCTATGATTGATTGGGGGGTTTCTTTGAAGGATGAATTGGTTCGTTTGTGGTTTTTTGGTCTCTTGGGTTTTGCAACGAGTATTCTTTGTATATTTATTTCCTATTAATTGGTTCGTGGTCTTTGGTTTTGGTGGGTGGCGCTGAGTTTGTTACGTATCAATATGCTTTCGATTGTATATTTTAGGGCTTGTTGCGACTCTGAAGGATCTTGGGTGATGGAGGGTGAATTCGGGTTGGTAGTATTTGTGTAAATGGCATGAGTTGTGGGTTGAGGATAGCATATTGGAGAGCAGACAGTACGTTAGAGTCGTTATGAGATCAATTCAGGTTATAGACTTCTCAAAGCAGAGAAACCGATTTTGGTGAATAGTATACCCAAGTCGGTCTATTACTCAGACAGGCTTTGGTTGTTTTAATGTTGTGGACGCTGAGGTATACTGAGTAGTTACATAGAAGACAATCGACGTATATATGTAGACTAAATAACCGACCTTTCACTATCTTCTGTTAGGTCAACAGTCAAATATAAAAAATATGTATATCAGACGTAAATAACTTATAGTTAATCAGTAGATTAAACATCCTAATTAAAACATAAATTATATACTATATCATATGGAGTAACTTAGTTAGGGCAGATAGTAAACTCAATAAGGCATCTTAGGTTTAAATAGGCTGAGCAGATAAAATGGGCTTGCATCGTGACATACAAAATACTATTCGTCATTCTAAAATACAGCTGCCACCCTGTTTATTGTTACATTCTATTTTCTAACTTCGTCAACACAGAGATTCAAGTGCCCGAATAATCAGAACATAGTTCTAAGAGTCCCTAATCTCCACAGTCTGTCTATTGAAGGCTGCCTACAATAACATCATATGCCGCCGGAATAGTATCTATTATCCCATAGTGAATGTGATCAAGACAAAAATATATTGGTAAGAAGTATTGGAACATAATTACAGGAGACATGGCCAAAAAGCGATCGAACCACAGACAGAACATATCGATGCAAGCGACCCTAAAACCGATACTCAGGAGTTGGACCCGTACTGGCAGTGACTCGAGCCGTGGGATCCAACAACACCGCATTCTGCTGGTCTGGTCGGTATGGAGCTTCATCCTTGGGCACAAACATGGCATTCGTCGTCATCCCCCGGTGGAAAAACCGGAAGGCTTTCCGATATCGCGTGCTACGCTTCTTCCGGTACTCACCGTACTCGTCCGCCTCCAACATGGCATACAGATAACGAGGATGCACCACGATGGCCTGCGCGCCTTTCTGCCCAAAGCCAAATGAGGTCAAAGAGAAAGCCTTCAGGCCACGGGTCTGAATGCTCCGATTGGGGTAAACGATGTACTCGTTCTGCTCCAAATGCCGGTCCACATTGTCCAGGTTGCGGTTGCCGGGGATCAGGCCCGTGTCCAGCACTTGCAACCCCCCATTCAGCATCCACGCCCCGGCGGCGCCCTTGGGATGTCCGGTGAGGTATTTCTGCGAGATGGCAAACAGGGGATTGCCAGGCTGCCGACCCAGGTGTCGCATCTGCGCTTCCAGCACGGCCGGCTCGTTCTTATCGTTCATCACCGTGCCCGTGCCATGCAGCGTCACGAAGTCCAGGTCATTGACACTCAGACCAAACACCGCCAACGCACCCCGGATCGGCGCAATCGACGGCTCATGCTTCCAGAACTCGTTGCCAAACGTGCTCAGGGCCTCCTTGCGCTGGCGCTGGGCGTCTTGCTCCACAAACCGCAGATGGGCTTGGTACTCCTCCTGGCGGGTCTCCGAGAGCCCCCCCTCGTCGCTGGCCAGCTGCTCCGCCAACGTCTGCACCTCCAAGTCGACTGACTCTTGAATCTGGGCCAACCGGGCATCTAGTCGACGCTTGCGGTAGCGCACGCTGAGCAAGGGCGAGGGGAAGCGCTCGGCCGGCTTCTCGCGAGCATTCGTCAAGATTCCCTGCCCAGGAGCTGGAACCGAGCGGCCAATCTTGTCACTGGCGGCGCCCACCCAGGCGATGATGCCATGGATGGGCAAGCCCAGCTCCAACGCCAGTCGCGCCGACGTGATCACCTCGACTCCACTGCCCTGCGACTCGACAAAGCCGCTACGACTCTCGGCCGAGGGTCGCGACATCTCCTGTGGGAGTCGTCCCTTGGTGGCTTCGGCGGCGGCGTCCGTCGTCGCTTTCATGTTGGCGAACTCGTCGGCGACTGCTTGGTTCATGTCGTCGTAGCCTCCCACGAGGCAGATCTTGGCGCGACCGGTGGCGATCGTCTCGTAGCCGGTCTCGAGCGATTCGACCGAGGTGGCACACGCTCCGACGGCGGTGCGGATCGGACCCGAGGAGGAGAGGAGAAGCATGTTGACCCAGGCGGCAGTGGTGTTGATGAAAGTCTCCTGCAGAATATCTTTCTGCACGTCGTGATCGCGGTATCGATCCTTGAACATACTCTTCAACGAGTGGACGCCGCCCAGCCCCGACCCAATACAGTTCCCAAACTCCGACACATGGATGTACTGGTACAGCTCGTACGGGTCGGTGATGCCCGAAGCCACCAAGGCCTCGATGGTACTCACCAGAGTGAAAAGCGTGCCCCGATCGACCTGCGTCACAAGGTCCTCGGGAATCCCGTAGGTACGAGCATCCCACCCAGTCGGGATCTGGCCAGCAACCGCGTGGTCCGATCGTAGGGCTTTGGGAATCATCAACACGGCTCCCTTCTTGAGATGGACCCGGCAGCGATCGGAGCCCTGGGGTAGGATATCCACCTGCTTCTCGCCATGCTCATGCACGAGCTGCTGCGCCACTTCGGGGGAGACTTCGAACGGGGGCAGGTCTTCGTCCAGGACGACTTCTTGCAAGAGCTGGCGTTTCCCCGCAGGCTCATTGGGGTTCAGGTCTGGCTCGACCAGTCGAATGCCCGTGTGGGACAGGATATGCTCTTCGTAGCGCGCCTTGATGTCCAGGTCCTGCACGGCCTTCTGGGTCTTCGCATCCACCCAGCCGGTGTAGTGCTGGCCGTCCAGGGGCCCATTATGGTGCCGGATCAGCCCCGTCATCCACGCGAGTTCGATGCAGCCTTCGAGCGAAAGCTGTCCGGTCGCCTCCATCTGCCATCGCGTGCGAGCGTTGCCAAACGGTCCGACCTCGGAGAAGCCGGTCACCACCACGACTCGATCGAGGTCAGCCATGCCCTGCAGGGTGGCTCGCAGGGGTTGCACGTCTTTCGCCTCGTCGGGTAGTTGCGGGAATGTGAAGGGGATGTTGGCCAGTCGTGGCCGAGGCGTCGTCTTGGGACCCTCACCGGATGCAGGAGAGGAAGAGGATGAGGCCGCGGCGCCCCGAACGGTCAGCTTCATCTCGGCCTCTTTCTCGCGGGCCAGGTTCGTGCGTAGCGTACTCTGATCGACGATCTCCCGACGGACCTGATCCAGCGTGGCTCGGAGATTGGGGATCGTGTTCAGACCCCCCGTCAGATCGGCATACAGCGGCTGCACGTTACACTGGCTGGCCAGTTTGCGCGTCATCAGCACCAGGATATACGCCGCCATCTCGGCGGTGGAGAAGGTCTGCACGCCGTGATGCTTCTCAATGCCCGCCGCGACGATGTTGTTGTCGGCCATCAGACCCGTGCCGCGCGTCCAGCCGATCACGGCGCCGCAGATGGAGAGATACGTCGCCCAGCTTTCCGAGTGCCACTTATCAAACAGCGACTCCAGCGCGATCTTCGACTCGCCGTACAGCCCATCGTTGCCGAAGGCGCCGTGGTTGGGGGAGAGCGGCAGGATGACCTGCGTGGGTCGCGTGCGATAGCCTCGCGCCTGCTTCTGTTTCTTGATCGCGCCCAGCAGCCGCAGGGTGTTGGTCAACATGATGCGGTGGGCCAGCTCGGAACGTGAGTCGATGTTGTCAATCTCGCGGCCGGACTCCGAGATCGCGGCGAAGGGGATGACATGGTCCAGATCCCAGCCCAGTCCGCCGGTCTCCGCGGAGGCGAAGATATACTCCACCAGCCCGTTGATATCCTGCTGGCTACCCTGGTTGAAGGGCGCGACGATCAGCTCCGACCCGCGAGCTCCGTACTCGACGTAGAGGTTCTGGTAGAAGCGCGTGGTGGAGGAGGAATAGCTGCTGGTGGTGACCACCACTTTGGCCCCACCAGACAGGAACCCCTTGAGGATCTCGGCGTTGATCGAGCCCTGGCTGACTCCCGTCATCAGCACGTACTTGTTGACGTAGGTGACCCCGTCCGTCCAGGCGGACTGCACCTCGTCGCGGTACAGGGTGGTCAGCTGCCGGTTGGTCTGCCAGGCCCCGGCCTGACGATGGGTTTTGATGGTGATGGGGGCGATGACGGGCGATCCACTGCCGCGAGGCACTTCGCGGTACTTGATCGTGCCCTGCTCGTCGACCGTCGTGCTGGGTCCCTCGATGAAGGCATCGTAATTGGCGGCCAACGGCTCGAACCGCGGCGTGCGAGCGGTCTCACACCGGTCCAGCAAGCGGCTCACGATGGCTTGGGCTTCGGGGACGCCAGGGCCCCAGAGCAGAGACGAGGAGTGGCTGCTGCTAGTCAGGTATTTCATCAGCCGCACCAGGCGGGGACTCGAGCGGTTGGCGATCGCGTTGCTGTACTTGGCCAGATCCTCCGTCTCGGAGAAGTCGCCGCGCAGGATCCGATGGAAGAGATCTAAGGTGTCTTGCAGGACCCAGTTCCAGCTCGAGTGAAAGCGACGCAGCTTGGGAGCCGCCCAGAGCGGACGGACTCCGGACAAAAACACGTCGCCCACCTCGGCAGCGATGCCGTCGAGTTGTTGTTGCAGCCTGGCGGTGGCGAGTTGGGCTTTCAGGGCGTCTTGAGCACCCTTTCGCAGGTTCTTACCCAGAAGCCGGGCGTATAACTCCATCAGCGACTGCTTGAGCTTATCTTGCTCTTTGACCATGGGGTTGAGAGCGGCACTGTCGACCACCGGGGCTGCGACGGTCACCGCAGCGGCGGCGGAGGAGACGGCGGCGGCGAAATTGAGTCCGTGGTCCGTCCCATATTGCTGCACGATCCCGTCCAAGAACGACTGGACTTCTTGCGAGTCCCCTAGTCGGGCTGTGGCGGTTGGGACGGTGCTGGCTCGTAGGAAGATGGCGTCCTGTCGGCCGACGCTCAAGCCCCAGCGCGACTGCAGATAGTCGCGCGCATCCCCGCTGGTAAATCCCGCGGGGAGCCTCTGGGCGAAGACCTTGGAGACCAGGCCCGTGGACACTTTGCGGAGTTGGCCGGTGAATGCGGCCCCGGATTGTAGGAGACTGGCCAGCTCGTTGATGGAGAGGTCTTCAGGCTTCTCGGGGAGGGAGCCGAACTCGGCGTCGAGATCGCCCACAATCTCGTTTTCTAGGGTTGACCGACCTACAGTCCGTTCGATTAGCAGAGTGTACAGACCCCCGAAGGTTGTTTGATTAAGCGAGGGGCAAGTTTTACCGCTTGCGAGCGCCTTGATAGACTTCTCAGTGGCTAATTCCCCATGGCTCTTTCGCAGCTTGCCGGCAATGATGGCAATCACGATCTCCTTCGCGTCGACCGGGCAATCGGGGAGCGGCGCGGCTTGGGCCACTTGGGCCGATGCAGCGACATTGACCTGCAGTGCCGTGGGACTATCTGTCTTCGAGACTTCCACGGTCGCTTGCACCGCAGTAGCGACTGGGGTGGCTGTGGGCTTGGCCGATGCGACCGCAGGTTGGCTCCCTGTGGCTGTTACCGCGGGAGCTGCCTCCAACAGATACTGGATCTCTTGTGCATTCTGTGCATAGGAGAGGAACTTTCGGGTCATATGGCGTGCAGCATCTTGCGATCGGAAGTGGCGGGCTACGGTCTTCTTGAGCATACCCGTCAAGACATCGGCGGGCCCGATCTCGACGAAGCGTTCGACGTTGTATTCTTTGAGGAAGGCATCTTGCGTGGCGATCCTGTTCGAACACATACCAAGTTACACGAGTATCCTCCAGGGACGAAAGGGGAGAGTGTCTGCTTACCATTGGACCGGGGACGCAAACTGATGTCTAGACTCAACACCATGGCAGTCAGCGATCGATCGATCTCTCTCGAGTATTCATGCAACAAGGCAAGGACTCACGCCAGCAACTCAATCAAGAGTAGATAGGCCAGTTGCTGCTCCACCTGGGGCTGCATAGTGACAGGCAACATGGCTCATGTTCTCACAGAGAAAAATCTGATACCCCGAAGGTAAAACTGTCTGCCACGATCCCTCTATATCGTCTTTTTCTCGGTTGTATACTCCTCGGCTCGGTTAGTCCTGGCAAAGGCGCTGGTTGCGCCTTGACTAGCTGCGTCGGAGCTGTGCCCATGTGGTCCGCTCCTGCGAACTCAGCCATGTGGCCTGAACATCATTGAAACTATCATGGCATCCCTGGAAGGATTAGGAAGGATTAGTTGGGGGCGGTTTGACCCCAAGGGATCCGCCTAGTTGCTCACCATGCATGATGATCCGACATGATTTAGTGGAACTTAGGGCTTACTTGGCAGACCCACGGCAGGATCAGATCCTCAACCCATGTGGAGGCGCAGGTCGGATCCTTCGACTAGACTCAATTCGCGCGAGCAATAACACTCTATAGCTGATCCATCCCAGACGATGGGGTAATGAGAGGCTGAATCGATGTCAGACCATTTTTGGCATGGTCCCAAGGTCGTTTCAATGCTTGCTGATTGCTGACGACGGCGGTATTTCTTGGATTGTGGTACGCTTGTTGAGCTAAAGTCTTATCCACTATAGAGCTACGCACTCCACGAGCTCTTCGCCTTTTCTTTTTCTTTTTATTTTTTTCTCTCTCAAGGTGGTCTTTTAGTGTTCAGCATGGAGACCGTTGCTGTCCTGAGAGAGCTGCCTGTCTTGACTCTGGTCAAGGCAGTGCCTCTCGCCCTGGTGGGATATGTAGGTTCTTCTTTCGGTTTTGAAATGCTTGATTACTGACTGCTTCTACGCTCAGCTCCTCGCCGTCTGCGTTTATCGCATCTGGTTCCATCCTCTGGCCAAATTCCCCGGGCCGGTCCTGGCCAAGATCACGAATCTCTATGGAGGATATCACGCATGGAAGGGGGATCTACACCTGCATATGATGCGTTGTCATGAGAAATATGGTCAGTCTCCTGTCGTTCGGTGATAGTTCTGGACGTTTGCTGACATGGAGGGTTGCCAGGTGACATTGTCCGATATGCTCCCAACCGCGTGCTGTTCAACACCAACACCGGCTTGAAAGGTCTATTGCCTCCCGCTGCGCTTCGCTCATCTTAATAGTTCATTTCACTAAAGATTTACTCTCTGATGTAGAAATCTATGCCTTTAGCAAGAGTTTCCAGAAATCCTCCGCCTACGGGGCGATGGTCCACCGAGCCCCCAACACCCTGACCCTCATTGACAAGAAGCAGCATGGTCGCAAACGACGCATCATCGGCCAGGGGTTCGGCGATCAGGCCCTCCGTGGCTACGAGGAAACAATCATGCAGCTCGTGCGCACTTTCTGCGACTCCCTGGCCAAGGACATCCCCGAGGAGGGTCCAGCCGGGGAATGGTCTGCGCCGCAAAACATGGCCAAGTGGAGCAACTACTTGACCTTCGACATCATGTCCAGCGTCATCTTCGGAGTGAATTTTGATCTGATTGGCAGCCCCAAGAACCGCGAGATCGTCCGGTGCATTGAAGACTCTAACGTACGCACGGGGGTGCTGCTCCAGGCCGGTGAGCTGGCGACGCGCCGCCTCGACCGCAAGCTCTTCCCGCAGGCGATCATTGGCCGGAACTTCTTTATTAAATTCGTGAACCAGCTGCTCAAGAAGCGCATGTCGGCCAAGCCGTTGAAGCGGAAAGACGTGTTCTCGTTCCTGTTGGATGCGGTTGACCCCGAGACGCAGCAGGGCTTCACCCCGGCCGAGATCGGAGCGGAAAGTACTACTATGATTGTCGCCGGTATGCATCTCCCACCTCTATTCTTTTGGGTGCCAGTTTACTCACTCTTGATAATCAGGGTCTGATACCTCCTCCACGGCAATCGCATCCACCTTCTTCTACCTCTGCCGTCACCCCGAAGTCTACGAGAAGGTCAAGAACGAAGTGCGCGCCGCCTTCGCCGGCCCGGACGACGTCACACTCGGCGCGGCGCTCACCGGCTGTGTGTATCTCCGCGCCTGTATCGACGAGAGTCTGCGCATGTCGCCGCCGGCGAGTAGTTCGCTTTGGCGCGAGGTCGTCCAGGATGGGGTGGTGATTGACGGTCACCCTGTGCCGCGTGGCTACGATGTGGGAACTTGTATCTATGCCATCCACCACAACGCCGAGTACTACCCCGAGCCGTTTAAGTATCTGCCGGAGCGCTGGCTCGACGAGCAACCTGAAAAGGTCCAAGTTGCGCGATCGGCTTTCAACCCGTTCTCAATTGGGCCCCGCAGTTGTTTGGGTAAAGGGTTGGCTTTGACAGAGCTGACTCTGACCATGGCGTACTTGCTGTCTAAGTATGATTTCCGTCCGGCGCCGGGGAGTGAGAAGGTTGGTGGGGGGTCGTTGGCGCAGGGGGTGGGGAGGGAGAGGGAGGAAGAGTATCAACTCAGGGATCATGTTACTGCTGCGAAGGATGGGCCGATTGTGCAGTTGCGTGTGAGGCAATGAGAGATTCTGTCTGGCAGTTATTGTGGGTGCAGGGCATATTGTTTTGGTGAGAGGAGGATAGTGATTTTTTGTCAGCTAATTCCAATGTATTTGTAACTGATTTTATTCATTCTGTGACTTTATAATTTGCCTAGTGATTTTTAATTTTCTATCACTTTCTGTCGATTGGATTATACTGTAGTCATCTGTGACAGTTGCGTTAAGTGTGTCGGAGATCTCTGGTGCTTTCGGATCGCTCGAGTCTCCCATTAGTTATTGAATTATCCCGTGACTTTGCGTTTTCTTTCTCTTTGCATATGCGGTCATTTGGATTTGGCCCATCATCTTCACTGAATCCCAAAACATGACTAAGTATGTATGTGTGAGAGAGACTCAGGATCTGAACTGAAAGCAGTCCGGGTGAAGTCACTCTGTAGAGAAAAAAGAAAAAGAAACCTTGAATTGAACGAATTGAAATAAATAGATTATTGGTATAAATCCTCACACTGGTGAGAACGGCTATGCGGCAGTAACCTGCTCAATCTCACGACACCAGCCAAAGCTATCCTCTGCCTCTCCGCGTTGGATGCTGGTCAACTCAGCATATAGCTTCTGACAGACAGGACCGGCGGTCTTCTCTTCGGTATAAACAAACCGATCCCCAGTCGACTTCCGCTCGATCGAGCGGATGGGAACCAAGGCAGCGGCAGTCCCAACAGCCATCACCTCGCTCAAGCTCGCCAGCTCGGTGTACATGACCTGGATCCGATAATAACCTCATTAGCCCGACCTTCAGCCCAAGCAGCAAATCAATCAAAGAGAGGGGAAAAAAAAAAAAAAAAAAAAAGACACAAGAAGAAACTCACCGAGCGATGCTCTACCCGATACCCCAACTTCTTCCCAATCTCCATCACACTATCCGACGTCACGCTTTTAATGATATTCTCACTCTTGGGCACTAGCAACACAACCTGATCCGGTTTACCTTCTTCCCGATCAATACGCACTCCGAGGAACCCCGAAGTCGAGAACTCATCGATCTGCGTCCCCGTCTTACTATCCAGATGCAAGGTAATCGGATACCCCTCCTTCAACGCCTGCCCCGACCACTTCATAACCGGGGCATAATTGCCCCCAATCTTGGCATGCCCCGTCCCCTTCGGCGCCGCCCGGTCAAACTCCTCCAGCACGAGGGCCGGCAACGGTGCGATGCCGTGGTACGTGCCGAAGGGCTGCACGTACACGCAGAAGGTGTACTCAGAAGGAGGCGTGAGGGCGAAATGCCCGCTGGAGCCGAACACCACCGGACGGATGTACAGCGCGGCTCCGGTGGAATGCGGGGGCACCCATTCTGCGTTCTGTGCCACGGCGGAGTTCACGGCTTCGAGGAATAATTTAATGGGGACGGGGGGGATGGAGACTATGGATGCGGAGTGTTGCATGCGGGTTGCGTGGAAGTGCGGACGGAAGATTTGGATTGCGCCGGCGGGCGTGCGGTAGGCTGTCGGATTGTCAATTTCAGAGTTGACGACGCAGAGAGAAAAAAAGGGGGTGGCGGTCCGCACCTTTGAGACCTTCGTACACTTGCTGACCGTAGTTCAGGCCGGGTGCCAGACCATGGACGCGCAGGTAGGGGTTGGCGATGAACTTAGGGCTGCTCCATTCCCCTGTTTTGGCGGTGTAGGTGGATTCGATGTGGCCGTTGACTAATCATCATTTTTATTGTAAATATATTCAGTGAGTGTCGGTAAAATAACAAACACAAGGACGGTATCTCAGAGGATTGTGGATGGCTCAAACTCACCCATGTCGGTCACGGCCAGACCTAATTTGGTCCATTCTGTTTAAGGGTGTCAGCTTGGGGTACAAGAGTGCAGTGCACTAACTATGGCGTGTAGTTCAAAGAAGATCACTTACCGACATTGGGCGCAGGAGCAGGAGGGAAAGTCATTGTGCAAATTGTTCTGTGATTTGATGTGGGGAGAATAGAATTGATTGGAATAATGAAAGCAAGAAAAAGGTAGCTTGGTAATGAATGAATGATTCTTTCTACTTTCTATCTATACGAACCCACGAATCCACGAATCCACGAACCCATTCGGTGGCAGCTCCGAGAAGTCCCGGGATCCACTTAGGGTTGGTGCCTGACACTGCATATCCCGCGGCTAGCACTAAGCGGGACGGCATCATGCAGGCTGAGCATCAGTCTAGAAATCCTTCCAGAATCCTTCACAGCCTCATGTATTCCTTTCCTTTCCAGAGACATTCCATTTCATTCAACTTTAAACACTGTAAACTGAAACCGCCCCCAAATTGTTTGAAGTTTCGTTACGCAGCCTTTTTCTTTTTCTATTTTTTTTGGGAGCTGCGTCTGCAACAAAGCTATTGCTGCGCATCACCTCCGAACAAGAGTAAACGAATTATGGCAGTGATGCGGGTTCCAAGTGCTGGTGGGAGGGTTTGACATATCCGTGTAGGATCAATGATTCCCTCTTGTAAATACCTCTTGTAAACTGTGAGCATTCGCGAATAAAGATACCCCGCGTCCTTATCTCCTTCCTTCCATTCTCCGTTTCTTGCAATGCAAGATACCCCCTAAAGAACTACAACCATAAGGCTCGCAATGCACATTCCGTCCCCCCCATCCGGTCAGTTCCAACTTGCTTTTTCCTTCGCAGTCAATACAGCCCAACCTAATTGATTTGATTGATCTCTATCACAGACCGAGGTTCATTCCCGACTCCCACCCCCGAAACGGCTGACTGGACCGAGTACCACTGCAGTGACAGCGAGATAATGTCCAATGTCAACCTCGCCGACCCCACCGAACCTCCGTTAGAGGAGCTATACATGAATCTTCTGAACGCACCACCAGGGATATACTCGCCGGTAAGACGTCAAACCAACTCTTGTCCCAGTTCTTCCTCCCACTCCTCCCACTGACTCGACGTAGGACGAATGCCCTATGCCGACCGGCAACTTGACTCGACATCATCCCTCCCAAGGGAGCACCACAACATCCTCGACCCATCTCCTGCATCCACAATCCCACCCACTACAGCGACAATCGCCCACCTCCTCCCCGTCCCTGCACCCACAGCAGAATCCCAGCGATCTCTCGTCGCTGTGCTGTCCCGCTCACGAACGCATCGTCCATCTTCTGCTTCAACGCGGCGCCAATGTCGATATGCAGAATTCCCGCGGGCAGACCCCGCTGCATCTGGCTGCGCAGCGGGGACATCTGGGGATCGTCCGGTTGCTCCTGATGGCGCCGCAGCCGGTCGATGTCAATGCGCGGGATCGCTTCGGGTCGACACCGCTGCATTTGGCGAGTGAGAATGGGCATGTTGAGGTCGTGAGGTTGTTGGTCGCGCATCATGCCCGGGTGGACGTACGGTCGACGAGGGAATAATAATGAAAGAGTGTTTGGAGTATTCTGGATATACTGTGACGATTGTATAGAGACAGGATAGAATCTTCGGGGCAGGGGAAAAGCACAAATTGATAGAGAGAAAGAGATTAAGTTATGGACAAGCGAGGGGATCTAGGACTCGGAAAAAACCGTCTATGTGGTTCAGTTCGGCGAACCATGGTGTTTGTGTACCATGATATATATATGTATATAATGGGATGGGAGGCATCCCTTTCGCGATTTGACTTCTCGCCAACTTCTACTAACTGGACATTGTTACGGCAGATCTTACTAGTCTGAGGGTATACTAGAGTTGAGAAAAATGTACTATCAATTAAGTAACCTATGTAACGTGATTAAAAACAGTAAGAGAACGCTATAGATATAGAACAACGACTGAAAGTGTCCAGCAGGAGGCGGTGTCGGCAACAAAATCGGCGATCGGCAAAATACAGCGGATGATTGCCGCCATCAGATAAATAGGTTTTTGCTTATTATTCTGCCGGCAGATTCAATTTATCTGTAAATAAATATATATCAATATATGTATAAAATTATTAAACTTACTCGATTTTATTTTTTAATCATTAATTCTAAATATTATAAAAAGATGTAAGTCTTATTCAGAATACTGTATACAGATATTCTATATAATTAAAATATAAAAGAAATATTAAAATTATATATATTAGAATTAATTCTAATAATCTTATCTGAAACTATAATTATAAAAATCTTTTTAATATTTTTATTTTTTTAGGCTGGCAGTGAGGCCGAATATATATATTTATTAAAATATTTTTTTTATTATTATTTAGTTTTTTTATTCTATTTAGCTGAATAATAATATTATTTATAATTAAAAGAATTATTAGAAAAATGTCTCAAAAATTTTTTTATTAGTAGTAGTATTAGTATTCTGTATATTTATCTAATATTTATTTTATATGAAATCATCAATAATTATATTAAATTATGTATAATCAATAAATTTTTACTAAAAATATCTAATAAATAGCAGTAATTAGAAAATCTTATATTATTAATATTATATTTAATATATAGCTTAATTAGAAGATTTTTTTCAGAACTGTATAAATATCATATTAATATATAAAATTTAATATAATTTAAATTATTTAGTTTAAATCCGGCTGCAGCAGAACTAATTATTTTAATTAAATGTAATAAATATTTTTTTATATATTATTATAAATATACCGATATAATAATACTAATATTTTTAATTTTTATTTTTAATATATATTTCCGCCTCCTATAATAAGATAGTAAGAAGAGGATTAAAAAGAAATATTTAAATATATTATTTTTTTAAGATTTTTCTATTCTGTCAGTAGTTATCTATATCTGTCAGCCCGCACCTTAACAATAATAGATATTTAAATTATAATATAGTATAATAAAGATATATTTAAAAAAACTTTAATAAATTATGTTTATTTTATTTATATTTTTAATTAAAAATACTGATAGATTATGTAAATAGCTTTGAATGAGAATAATATATAATTAAATGTATATTAAGGTCTTTTTATATAGTTAGAAATATAGTGTATAAAAAAGTTTTTTCTATAAAAGAAAGTTAATATCTTTTTAAAGATGAAATCTAATTTTTAGAATTATATATAATATTATTATAAAATCTCAGCCGGTAAATATTTATTAATATTTAATCCTATATATATTATAATTATTATTGATATATTTTTTTATATATAATAAAATCATATTTTATAATATCTTACAGATAATAATAATTTATAAATAATTTGTTATTAATTATGTAAAATTATTTTAACTATTTTTAAATAAAATATTTATTTTGAATATATTTTATATAAAAATATCCAATTACAAAAAATAAATATATATATAGTATATATAATTATTTAATCTCATTTAAAACAATTAATATTTTAAAAAATTGTAAAATAATTCTAATATTAATAATTATAATTATTTTCAAATATATCTTATCATACAAACTTTCTATGAAATAAAAAAATTTCATTTAATTATATTTATTAAAATTTAATTTTTTAATTAATAGTATTAGTCTTATAAATATATTATTCTTATAATAGAATTTAAAATATATATATTTTATAAATTTTATAATAGATTTTATTAAATATAATAATTTCTAGTTTATGATCTGATTAAATCTTATTATATATACTTTTATAGAGTTATATAATATTAAAATATAATCAAAAATCCTAATTATTATATATATTACAATATTAATATATACTTAAATAATATAATAAAAATAAATGATAATTATAATGAAAATCCTAATAGGCTAATACTATACAGCAGCAGTTTGATATAACGTATTAATTAATTATAAATTAGAATTAAAAATAATATATAAGTTTTATTATTATTAGAACTTATATTTTTTTATTTTATAAATAATAATAGAAGTAATTATATAGTAGATACTAATTATTAAATTTTAAAAAATTATGAATATTTATTAAAACCATATATACATACAGACTATAATATAATTAGATTTCAATCATATTGATAAAAATAGAAAAACTACCGGGCTGTATTTTTAAAATAATTCTATTTACTAAATTTCTTAAAAAATATTTTAATAATCTTTTTTATTCAAAACTAATATTCAAATAAATTATTCTTTTAGTATATAAATTTTAATATTATACAGATTTTTTCGAAACTTCTTTTAAAATAAAACAGTCTTCTTAGAATATAAAATAAAATTCTGATTTTAAAAATTTCAACTAAAAATTTTTTTTTAATTTTTTTATATGAAATATCAATTAGTAGTAGCTGTGCAGTCTTTTAAATATTTGATTAACTTTTTATTATATATTTTATAATTCAAATAAAGTATTCTTTTAAATAATAAAGATAATACTTATAGCAGACTTATTCTATTAATAAAAATAAATAATTTCAGCTTGAAAAGACTTAAAAAATAATATACAAAAATACAGCTAATAGAGTAAAACAGAATATAGATATATTAAAAGAAGAGAGTTCTAAATTATTTTTAGAAGACCAGCGGTAACATCTGCAGTTAAAGAACTTAATAAAAAAACCCATTTACCCGATGGCGGCAATCATCCGCTGTGGGCAAAACCAACCAAGCACGCGGGCGCGAGTCAACCCTTTTGCCCACCATCTGGAAATTCATCACACAACTCAAGGCCACGGGGTATCGAAAACAACAAATCCACAACACATTCTATTCTCATCCAATTATGCCATAGGATCCCAATCCAAATCAATTTATCCATTGATTGAAATGTTATCTCAATCTCACACACCCACCACCCCCCCAGACACACACGTCAAGATGTATACATTACGCCACCATCCCATACCACAGATGCACGCGTCCCGGCAGCTGCCGTTTCAACGAGCCCGATGATCGCGCCAACCACCAGGCCAAACGGGGATTGGCCTCCGCCAGGGAGCCCCAGAGCGAGACGTGGTCCGCGCGAATCCGATCCCAAAACTGTTCCGCCACCCCATTGAGCCAGTCGGACGGGCCGACGCCGAAGAGCGCCAGCTCGGAGATGCTCTCCTCCGGCGTGATCTCGTCGCTCGTGTGAGGCCACGGGAACGAGGCGTGCGGGAAGACGATCGCGAGATTTCGAATGGCTGCCTCCTCCGCAGTGGACTCTTCGCTGGGCGACTGGTCGAAGTAGGCGACGAACTGTCGGGTGTCAAGTTGGTTCAGGAGCGCGTCGATGCTGACCTCGATCCCGCTGCCGGGGTGGAGGTGGCGCTGGAGTGCGGCGCGTAGGGCCCGTTGGGAAGGGAAGTCCGCCCGCGAGGTCACCACCTGGATGGTCCGGGGGCTGCGGAGGACTGTCCACGGGGTGGTATCGGGGAAGATGGAGCTGCTGAGGGAGTTGGCAGTCCCAAGTAGGATGCTGGTGTCGGGCCCCAGCTCTTGCGCCAGTGCTTGTAATGTGGTGGTGGAGGAGGTAGTTGGGGGCTGGGCTTCGGGACGCAGGAAAATCGTGCGCAACGGCTGCAGGATCCGTGCCAGATGGACGGCAGCATGGTAGGGATCAAGGGCATAGGTGCGAGAATGAGCGGACGAGGTGCCCAGCGCTGCCACGATGGGGATTGAGCCAGCTCGGACGGCGGACTCGATCGCCTCGGGCGCGATCGCGGTGACGAGCCCCTGCGCGCTGGAGGGTTGGTTCTCCGGATCGGAGACAGCGGTAAAGACCCCCCCTGGGATGGGTCGTGTCTCTACATCCTGGCGCTCGAGCAGCGCGCTGACTTGGTAGTTGGCGGTGCGAATCCGACGCAGCTTGTTCGACTGATCGGCCGGCGGTGGGCCGAAGACGTTAACTTCGGCCGGCGATCTGGATGTCAGCTCCAGATCGTAATCAAGCTCGCCATGGACCACAATGGGAAACAGTCCAACCCGTCGCAGAAAAGCTAACGACTCGGCCAGTCGCTCGAGTTGGACGCGGGCGGCGGAGGACTGGGACGGGGGGAGCGCTTCTCGACCAAGTGCAATGACCGCCAGAGGGTCCCCCTGGGACGGGTGGAACTGGTGGAGATATTGCTGGATCTGCTGCGGAGAGTCAATTTGTCGCAGCAATTGAACAGCCACGGCACGGTTGATTTGCGCCCGAGATTTGGGGGCGCTGGACAGCCGGGCAGAGAGCATGTCTCCACAGTGGGCGGCGGCGGTTAAGCGGGGACGTCGCAGCAATTGAGCCCACATGGTCACGTTGGATGATGCCACGACGCAGAGCAGGCAGGCCCTTGGGAACTGACGATCCGGCACATGGGAAATTATATGAGTTGATTCTCGTTGGTCACTACAGCCTTTCTACAGTGTACTATGTACAACCTTGCAGAAAAGCAGAAAAACAGATTATAGCATATTGCCGGGATTGAATCTGCAGGGTAAGGGTTGGCACTTCGCAGGATCGCCGGCTCCACCAAGACTAACGCTACTGCAGGATCAGCCGCTAAAACGAAGGAAAAAGTCTTTCTTTTGGCCCCCAACCTGACAGTGCAGATATTAGATGTTAGAAGAAATCAATAGTGTTCCTGTAGAATCCTGAGACGAGAGTCGGTCTGACTGCATGAAGGAACGTGGCGGCCATGCGCTCACGCGGTCTCGTCCAGCCCTAATCGCATCCGTCTTCGGAACCTCCCCCCCCCACGTGGGACTGGCTAGCACCTCAAACCACGCGAAAGCGCTGACTGCGCTACCAGATGAACTTGTTGTGTGCTCAGCCGCATCTCTTCACTCTAGTACACTAATCCCGGAGGCATATTTGGTGTCAAAGAGCAAGCATCGCCCCATTGTTTTGACACGCGCGATCGTCGTTCCTCCCTTCCGTCCCATCCTCAAACGTTGCTTGTGCGTTGAGTTGAGCTTTGTCGTGGTGATACTCCTCTGATTCACACTCTTTCGTTGCCTCATTGCCTTTGCAACACACCTCCCTCGATCTCAAAAACTTCTTGTAATTTTATCATATACCCACCTATTTTAATACTATTTTCACTATGGGAGACTACGGCAACCAGACCTCAATTGAGGCCCTTCCGGCTCAGCTGCCCCTCGAGCTCAAGGCAAGTGCTTCTTTGTTCCCCCTCTTGACTGACGGGATTCTTGTAGATGGCGACCAGACGGCCGGACCTGCGGTCGCCGGCGATATGAACCAGGCACGCATTGCCCTGGAGCTGAAGCCGCACGTCTCGGCCGCGGCTCTAGCAGGTTTCTGCACGCGCCAGGACGTGACACTCCTCAGCGTGTTGAACGTCGCGTGGGCAATGGTGCTGGCTGCCTACGCCGACACCGATGTCGTCCACGTGCTGTCGGTCCGCTATGTGGCAGAGGTCCCTCATGTGGGCCTGTCCGAAATCACGATCGACGACGGGTCGACCGTGCGACAGAACTTGGTCGAGCTGGAGCAGCGCTTACAGGCCAGTGTCGCGGTCCCTTCGGCGACGACTGTGACCGACCTGCAGATCTGGACCTCCGTAGACGACCATCCAGCTTTCAACAGCGTGGTGCTGTTGTCCGACGGCGAGAGCCCGGAGCGGGTGGTAGTCCAGGCTGGAAACTATATTGCCCTCCAAGCCCGGGCTGCTCAGGATCAAGTAGCGATCCATCTGCAGGCTCCTATCCACCTGCTCCCTGAGGCGCAAGCTAAGCACTGCGCGGCAACCCTGAGCCACGTCCTTGGGGAAATCATCCAAAACCCCGATCGGCCTCTCCACGCAATCAACTTGATGAGTCCGTCGGGGCTCGAACAAATCTCTCACTGGAACCAGACAGCTCCCGCCGTGGTCTCGCGCTGTCTTCATCATATTGTGGACGAGACGGCGCAGGCCCGACTTGACGCCCTCGCCATTGATGGAGCCGATGGCCAGATGACCTACGCAGAATTGCAATGGTACTCGGATCGGCTGGCGCAGCACCTGATGCAGCGAGGAGTCGGTCCTGAAACGGCGGTCCCTTTGTTCTTTGAGAAGTCAAAGTGGGCCATTGTGACCATGGTCGCCGTGGTCAAGGCTGGGGGTGTCATCGTGAACCTGGACGCCAAACAGCCACTGCCACGTTTGCGGGGCTTGCTCACCCAGCTTCAAGCGCAGTTTGTCATCAGCTCCGTACAGCACGCCACGCTTTGGGTGGACGAGTATCCTGTGGTGGTCGTCTCGGAAGACGCCCTCGCTCAACTGCCCACAAGCGAGGCTGTCGTCCCTCATCTCGAAGTCTCACCGCAGAATGCTCTCTACATCATTTTTACCTCGGGTAGTACCGGCACACCTAAAGGTGTCGTCGTGGAGCATGAGTCTTTCCTCACGGCGGCGGCACAACATGTACAGGCTGGCCAGATTCTTCCTTCCAGTCGAGTACTGCAAATGACACCGTATACCTTCGATGTGAGTATGCTCGAGATTTTCACCACACTCACCACCGGCGCCTGCATCTGCTTCTGCAGCGATGAAGAAGCGGCGCGTGGAATCACGCATATTATCAACTTCCTGCAAATTACCTGGACCTTCATGACGCCTTCGCTGGTGCGCTTGATTGACCCAAAGGCGGTGCCCACCCTCAAGACCCTTGCCTTGGGTGGAGAAGGGCTCGGACGCATTGATGTAACGACCTGGGCGGATAAGCTGCAATTGATCAACGGTAGGCCTGCCTCCAAGTCCAACTATCATTCTCTGAGCCGTTACTGATGTTCATCTATAGGCTACGGACCAAGTGAGTGCTCCGTTGCGGCGACCATCAACACTCCGCTGTCATTGACTTCGGATCCCGCCAATATTGGCGTTGGCTATGGCGCGAACTGCTGGGTCGTGCATCCTGAAGACCATCATCGACTTGTCCCCATCGGTACTGTCGGCGAACTGGTCATTCAAGGACCCATCGTAGCGCGCGGATACCTGCATGAGCCCGCCAAAACGGCCGCCGTCTTCCTGGATGAGACCCCAGACTTTGCTGCGCTGCTCCCACAACAGCCTCACGCCTTCCGTCTCTACAAGACTGGTGATCTGGTGCGCCAGAACAGTGACGGTACCTTCAACTTCCTCGGACGCAAGGATCGCCAAGTGAAACTGAACGGACAACGCTTGGAGCTGGGCGAGATCGAGCAGCGACTGTCAGCTGATGCGTTGGTGCGGCATGCCCTCGTCATGCTGCCTAAGGAGGGTCCCTGCCAGGGCCGTCTGGTGGCGGTCCTTTCGCTGCATGCTTTCTCCCACGATAGTCCCCGGGACGCGAACGTTCACGTTCTGTCAGCCGAGGAGTCGCGAAGCGCGCGCGCCAGTTTGCCGAAAATCACTGCACGGTTGGCGACACAGCTTCCCGTGTATATGATTCCCACCTTCTGGGTGGTGCTGGCAGCTCTTCCCTTCACGACTTCAGGCAAGGTCCATGGTGTGGCTATGACGAAGTGGCTTGCTGAGATGTCCGAAGAGACCTATAACGAGATTGCCGGCGTGAGTGACGAGGGGTCTGAAACCGCACTCTCGAGTGAGGTAGAACTCCAGCTCCAGCAGATTTGGGCCGATGAACTGGGGATCCCTGTCGCTGACCTCAAGGCCAACCGCTCCTTCATTGCTCTTGGAGGTGACTCGTTGACGGCGATGAAGGTCGTGGCGCGGTGTCGCAAGCAGCAGCTTGTGGTTTCGGTTCCCGATGTTTTACGCGCTGCGAATATCGTCGAGCTCGCCGCACGCACCACCAAGGGATCTGACACCTCGTCTGGGGATGATAACGGGAATGGCAGCGACAAGATGACCCGTTCGACTCCGGCCGGCCGCGTTGCCGCTCTCAATGATTCTCTCCTGACAGTGGCAGGACTCACTAGCCGCGACCAGGTGGAAGATGTCTATGGCTGCTCACCCATGCAGGACGGTATCCTGCTCAGTCAGGTCAAATTCCCTGGCACGTACCAGGTCCGTCGCGTGTTGCGGGTGCAGTCCACTGGCGACGTGCCCTCTGTTGTCGATCGTCTGCAACGCGCATGGCAGACGGTGGTGAGTCGGCATCCATTGCTGCGGACAATCTTCGTCGACGCAGAAGGTCAGTTCCGGCAGATTGTCCTCAAGGAGGTCTCGGCCTCTGTTCAGGTATGCGAGCGCCTCGACCTGACGGAGGAACAGGCGGTGGTTCAGTTCCTGCAGGATCAGCCCATGCCCAGCTACGCCCCCTCGGATCCCCAGCATCACTTTACTATCTGCCACGCGGCCGGTGATGCGATCTTCCTCAAGTTCGAAATCAGTCACGCTTTGGTTGACGGTGCATCTAATGAAGTGATCCTCCGCGAACTGTCCCAGGCCTTTGATGTGCAGGACTTCCCGAGCCCCGCTGCGCTCTTTGGTGACTACATTGAGTATATCTCGGAGGCCCAAGCTGGCAGCAACAATTCGCTAAGCCACTGGACTACCTATCTGGCTGGGGTGCAGCCGACGATCGTACCCATGTATCCTCCTACTGAGCAACAACATGCCCCTAAGCAGATTCGCTCGGTGCCAGTGCCTTTTACGGAGAACCAAGTGGCTGCACTGGTTCGACTTTCCGAGGCCAACGGGATCACGCTGGCTAACGTCCTGCAGACGGCCTGGGCCCTGACTCTCCGGGCCTACACTGGATTCGACGATGTTTGCTTCGGCTACATTGCCTCGGGGCGTGATGTGCCCGTTGCTGGCATTGAACACGCGGTGGGCGCCTTTATCAACATGCTCGTCTGCCGGGTGCGGTTGGACCAGTATCCCAGCGTGCTTGAAGCAGTTGCTGGGATGCAGGCCGAATATTTCGATGCGTTGCCTCATCAGCACACCTCGCTGGCACAAATCCAGAACGCACTAAAACTGTCGGGCATGCTTCTGTTCAACAGCATTGTCTCGGTGCAGAAGGAGGTGACCGACCAGTTATTGGGCGAGTGGTCGCTCTCGTTCCAGCCCCTCACTGAGGATGATCCTACTGATGTGCGTTGTGCTCCTCTCCCTATCTCTGCTTAATTGGCTAACCTTTGTCTGTCTGTTAGTTCGACCTGACTGTCCATATCTACATGGGCAAAGAGCGCGCGCATCTGTCTATCGGCTACTGGTCCTCGCTGTTGTCTGAAGGCGACGCCGCGAACCTGGCCAACACGTTCAGTGGCGCCATTGATCGTATCCTCACGCAAGCCAACTCCTCAGCCTCTGACCTCGATCTCTTCACCGAGCGGGATCGCGAGCAGATCTTCGCCTGGAACCAGGACGAGCCCGTCGCAGCGCCTGGAGTTGTCCATGAATACATCTACGCTCGGGCTCGCCAGCAGCCCGACGCGCCCGCGGTGTGTGCCTGGGATGGCGAGTACACCTACGCCGAGTTGGACCAGCTCTCAGAGAAGTTGGCCCATCACCTGGCTCAGCTTGGAGCGGGTCCTGAAGTTTTGATTCCCCACTGTTTCGACAAGTCCAGGCTCGCTCCAGTGACGATGCTGGCAATTATGAAATCCGGCAGTGCCGGTGTGGGACTGAGTGCGGCGCATCCCCGATCTCGGATCCAGGACATTGTGGAGAACTGTGCCGCCCGCATTGCGGTTGTCGCTCCTCAGCATGTCTCCGTTGTGGAGGGTTTGGTCGAGCATATTGTCGTCCTGGATGAGGCCTTCTTCACCTCACTACCTGCCCCTACAGCTGGAGCGCAACTCCCCCAAGCGAAGCCGTGCAACCCCGCTTTCGTCTCCTTCACGTCGGGCAGTACCGGAAAGCCCAAGGGTATCGTTCTCGAGCACGGCTCCCTCATCACCAGTATTCTCGCTCACGGTGTCGAGTGGGAGGTTAACCAGTCGGCGCGGGTGCTGCAGTTCTCTGCCTACGCGTTCGATGCAAGTGTCTCGGACACCTTCACGACCCTGGTCGGTGGAGGTACGATCTGTATTCCCCAGGAGAAGGAGCGAGTGGATGATCTCGCCGGCGCCATAAATCGGCTGGGAGTGACTTGGGCCTTCTTGACTCCCCGTGTGCTGGGTCTGCTGTCCCCCGAGACAGTCCCTACCCTGAAGACTGTGGTTCTCGGAGGTGAGGCTATCTCGCGCGAGGACATCTCCCGCTGGACGGAGGCGCTCTCCATCCGGATTGTCTACGGGCCCACAGAATGTACCATCTACAGTATGGGTACTGAACCACTTACAGCCGACAGCGACCCGGCGAATCTGGGCCATGCCGTTGGCACGCGGCTGTGGGTCACTGACCCGGAAAACACTGATCGACTTCTCCCGGTTGGCTGTATCGGCGAGCTTATCATCGAAGGACCCTTGGTGACGCGTGGCTATCTTAACGAGCCTGAGAAGACCAAGGCCGCATACCTGGAAGACCCTGTCTGGTTGCCCAAGAGAGCCTCCGGAGCGCCACGGCGGTTCTACAAGACCAGCGATCTGGTGCGCTACTACCCCAACGGAGACCTGCGGTTCATTGGCCGGAAGGACACGCAAATCAAGGTCCGTGGACAGCGTGTTGAACTGGGGGAGATTGAGCATGCTATCCTGGAAACCATGCCTGGTGCGGTGCATATCACTGTCGACGCGGTGGTGCTGCCGCCTCAGACTCTTGTCGCTTTCCTGTATCTGGGAGGTCATAGTGACGAGCTGATGATGCCTTTGACTCCAGAGGTAACCGCTCAGCTGCGCGCCCTGGAGAAGTCTCTGTCTGAAACTCTCCCCAGCTACATGGTTCCTAGTCTCTTCATCCCCATCTCTCACATTCCCATGACGATTTCCGGCAAGGTCGATCGCATTGTTCTTCGTCGTTCTGTGTCGACCCTGTCTTCCGCCCAGCTGGAAATGTATGCGCTGGCTGAGCAGATTAAGGCTGCCCCTCAGACTCCCCAGGAGATCCAGTTGCAGAAACTATGGGCTAAGGTTTTACGCAAAGAGGCTAGCACCGTGGGACGTGACGACAGCTTCTTCCGTCTTGGGGGTAACTCCATTGGCGCCATGAAGTTGGTGGCTGCTGCCCGCGGCGCTGGCCTCGTGCTCAGCGTGGCTGATATTTTCCGTCATCCTCAATTGTCGGACATGGCGGCGCAACTTGTTTTGCCTGAAGGCGACTCCTCGTCCTCCTCGTCGTCCTCCTCTCCGTCCTCGTCGACTTCTCCACTTGCCTACACGCCCTTCTCCTTGTTGCCTGCAGCTAGCACAACGGAGAGAGAGAACTTGCTCGCGGAGGCTGCTCAGCAGTGCTCGATCTCCCTCGAAGCAATTGAAGACGTCTACCCAGCCACACCCCTGCAGGAAGGAGTCTTCCTTATGTCGACTACTCACAAGGGCGCGTATGTTGCCCCAACCGCCTTCCGCATCTCTGCAGACTTCGATCTTGCCCGCTTCAAGGCCGCTTGGCAGACCCTCGTCGACGCTCACTTCATTTTGCGGACCCGGCTGGTCACTGTCGAATCCACTTCTTACCAGGTGGTTTTGACCAAAGAGGCCTCGCAGTTGCAGTGGGAGCATGCCGCATCCTGCGACGAATATCTTGCCCGCACTCAGTCCCTCTCTGTGGTAGCAGGAGATCCGTTGACGCGGTATGCCCTTATTCCCGCCGAGGACCATTCCACCATCTTCGTGTGGACCGCCCACCATGCCGTGTTCGATGGCTGGTCAGTGGGTCTGCTTTTCGAACAATTGGTTCAGTTGTACAAGCAGCAAGATGGTCTTGCCCTTGCTACACCGACAGGACCTTCGTACGCCGAGTTTGTGCAGTTCCTCGAGACGAAGACTGATGCGGATGCCTCGCGCAAGTTCTGGGCGTCGTTAGTGCCCTCCGAGCCTCCTGCTATCTTCCCTCGTCTGCCCGCAGCCACTTATCAACCCACCGCGAAGGCGACCTGCTTTCGCACCTTTTCCAATATCGTGCAGCCGGAGCAGTCGAACCTCACCCTGGCCATCCTTCTGCGGGCAGCGTGGGCCATTGTGCTCGCTCGGTATACCGACGCGGAAGACATTTTGTATGGGCTCACTCTGTCCGGACGAGATGTGCCCGTCGCAGGCGTGGAGCGTATGGTCGGCCCTACCATCACCACTGTTCCGATGAATGTTCACCTGGACGGGGAGATGTTGGTCGAGACCTTCCTGCAGCAGCAGCAGGATCAAAATATCGAGATGATGCGCCACCAGCACGCCGGATTGCAGTCCATCCGTCGCATCAGTCCCGCCGCCAGTGCCGCCTCTGATTTCACGAATCTGTTCGTGGTGCAGCCTCACACGGACGAGGCGCCAAGTCTCGAACAGATGGTCCAGGTCACCACTGATATGAGCCGGTTTGACCCCTATGCCTTGGTTCTTGAGTGCAACATGAAGGCCAACGGCCAGGTGCTTTTGGAAGCACGATTTGATGATGTTGTTGTGTCCTCGGATCAAACACAGCGCCTGTTGGGTCACTTTGAGCATGTCCTCCAGCAGCTTACCACGCCATCGACCCCGGACCGTCGGCTGAAGCAGGTCGATATGTTCAGCCCAGAGGATGAGCGACAGATTTGGGCCTGGAATGCAGAGCCGGCCAAGCCGGAGAACGTGTGTGTCCACCAATTGGTCACCGCTGCAGCCAAGCGCCACCCGAACCACGTTGCCGTCGACGCATGGGATGGATCGCTGACCTACTGGCAACTTGACGATATGTCCTCACGCTTGGCTGATTGGCTCATTTCTTCTCACGCCCTCAAGCCTGAGTCCTTGGTTCCCCTGTGCTTTGACAAGTCCCTATGGACCATTGTCACCATGATGGCCGTGGTAAAATGTGGTGGGGGATGCGTGATGCTTAATCCTGATCACCCGATATCGCGTCTGGAGGGCGTGATCGTCGACACGGGCTCCTCCGTCGTCCTTGCTACACCGGACCGTGCCTCGCTCTTTGCATCCGTCGCGGGCGTAACGGTGGTCGCCATTGATGAATCCTTGATCCGCAATCTGCCTGTGCTCGACGAGACAGTGCGACCACTGCCTGTTATCAAGCCCACCAATCCGGTCTTTGTCATTTTCACATCCGGCAGTACGGGCAAGCCCAAGGGAATCGTGGTCCAGCACAACGGAGTTTGCACGGTTGCGATCCAGCATGGAGAGGGACTGGGCTTCACTGGCAAAAATCTGCGCGTCCTTCAGTTCGCTTCGTTCAGCTTTGACGTCAGCATGGGAGAAGTCTTCATCACACTCATGAAAGGGGGTACCCTGTGTATCCCCACTGAGGACGACCGCATCAACAACTTGGCGGCCACTATCAACCTCATGAACATTACCTGGACCTTTATGGCACCCACCGTGGCTGCCCTACTTGATCCCCGCGAAGTGCCTAACCTGCAGACCCTCGTTCTGGGTGGTGAAGCCGTCTCGCAGAGTCTGGTCGACCAGTGGTCCAACCAGCTACAATTGATCGACTCGTATGGCCCGGCCGAATGCACCATCTGGGCCTCTCATGCCAACGCCAGCGCCACCGTCTCCCCCGCCAACATCGGTCGCGGAGTCGGCTGTCGTTACTGGGTGGCCGACATTCATGACCACAATCGTCTCGCCCCAGTCGGTTGCGTCGGAGAGTTGCTGATTGAAGGCCCGAACGTCTCCCGTGGCTATCTGAACGAGGCCGAGAAAACCCGGGACGCCTTCATCGAGAGCCCGGCCTGGATGCAGGGTAGGGCGGATGCCGAATACACCTATAAATTCTACAAGACCGGTGATCTGGTGCGGTACATGGCGGATGGCTCCCTAGAGATCGCCGGCCGCAAGGACAGCCAGGTTAAATTCCACGGCCAGCGCATCGAACTGGGTGAGATCGAGTTTCATCTGCGCGCGAGCGCAGCTGTCGAAGCCGGCATGGTCACGCTGCCCAAGACAGGTCTCTGCAAGGGTAAGCTCGTGGCCATAGTGGCGTTGACGAGCCTTCAACCCGAAGCGGCAGAGGGAGATCGTGTGCAGCTCGTTTTGCCGAAGATTCTGCAGTCCCCCAAGACACAATCACAAATCCAGGAGATCCAGGAAGAGCTTGGTGCGGTGCTGCCCCCGTATATGGTACCGACTATCTGGGTCGTCCTTGATTCGATTCCCTTGACGGCTTCGCGTAAGATTAACCGCGTGCCAATTTCGCGCTGGGTCATGGATATGTCGGAGGAGACATACCACCAGGTGGTGGATGCCACGTCTTCGGAGAGTGATGAGCAGAATCTGCCGTCTACGGCGCTGGAGAAGCAGCTGGCGCAGGTCTGGAGCCATGTTCTCAATCTTCCGCTCGAGGCTATTGGTCTCAATCGTTCGTTCTTGAGCCTGGGTGGAGATTCCATTACTGCCATGCAGGTCGTCGCCCGTTGTCGCTCCCAGGGGATTGATTTGAGCGTGCAGGATATCCTGCAGCCCAAGTCGCTGGCTGGTGTCGTTGCTCGGGGTCATGCGGCTAAGCCTCGCAGTGCTGTCACGCGAGAAGAAGTCTATGATGTTCCTTTTGAACTGTCTCCAATCCAGCAGCTCTACTTCGAGGATGTCGTGCCGGCAAATGAGCGTCAACAACATCATTACAACCAGAGTGTTCTGCTGCGTGTGACCCATCCAATTTCATCCTCGCAACTCTCTGCTGCCATCGAAAAGATCGTGAACTGCCATGCGATGCTGCGGGCTCGGTTCCACCAGGATGTCGACGGAAAATGGACGCAGCTGGTGCGGCGTCCAGCCTCGGGGTTGGCACCTGTGTCTGTTCATGATGTGACAAGTCGTGAAGCGTTGTTGGAAGTGATCAATGCCTCTCAGCGCCTGATCGATATCGAGCAGGGTCCAGTCTTTGTGGTCGATTATTTCACTTTCCCGGACTCGCAGGGTCAGCTACTCTCACTCATTGCTCACCACCTTGTCGTTGATGCCGTGTCCTGGCATATCCTGGTCGGTCAGCTCGAGCAGCTGCTGCTGGCACCTAGCGAAGAATTTCAACTTCAGTGTCAAATGCCCTTCCAGAGCTGGGCGCACGCTCAGCGGGAGTACGCGGAGGGCTTGACAGCTCCGTCCTTGGGTCCTCATGCCTTGCCCACCCCCAACCTTTCGTACTGGGGACTGAAGCGACTGCCCAGCTGGAAAGATGGCGAGGAATTGACCTTCAACCTGGATACGTCGACCACGGCGCTTCTATTGGCGGAGGCCAATACATCCCTCCGCACTCAGCCTGTCGACTTGCTTGTGGCGGCGCTCCAGCAGTCGTTCACCGAGTCTTTCCCTGATCGTGCGATGCCTGCAATTTTCAGCGAGGGTCATGGTCGTGAACCGTGGGACACTTCCATCGATCTATCAGAAACTGTCGGCTGGTTCACAGTCTTCCAGCCAATTCATCGCCATGTCCGTCAGCACGAGAGCGTGAAAGAAACCGTCAAGCGCACCAAGGATGCTCGTCGCGCCTGCCCCGACCACGGCTTTGCGTACTTCACTGGTCGCCAATTTCGACCAGCTGCGTCTGAACGCCACGATATGGAGATTTGCTTCAACTACCTGGGTCAAGCGCAACACACTGAGCGCGCGGATGCTTTCCTGCAAGAAGAGCCGCTGCGGGCGGGCGAGGTGATCGACAACATCGGTGAAGCTATGGGCCGTCTGGCAGTCTTCGACGTCTCTGCGGCAGTTTCTCACGGTCGGCTCCTCGTCTCGTTCTGTTTCCCTCGCTATCTGCAGCACCAGGATCGCATTCGTCACTGGGCGGAGAGCTGCCAGAAGGTGCTTCAGACTGTTGTGACTGAGCTGGCTCATAGTGCGTTGGAATACTCGCTCAGCGATTTCCCGCTCATGGCCATTGATTACGCGGATCTCTCAACCCTAACCAGCACCGTCCTGCCCGGCATTGGTCTGGCTTCCGACGCCGTTGAGGATCTTTATCCTTGCTCATCCATCCAAGAGGGTATCCTCATCAGTCAAGCTCGTCAGCCTGGCACGTACGAGGTACGCCAGCTGTTCGAGATCGTCCCCCGCTCTGATGTGGGCCCTGTCAACGTCTCGCATTTGTTGCAGGCCTGGCAACGCATTGTGGACCGCCATACCATTCTCCGCACCGTCTTCATTGAGTCCCTGACTGGTGCCGGAGTCTACGACCAGCTCGTGCTGCGTAGCCATCAGCCCAATGTGTTGCAGCTTGTATACGAGGGCGTTGAGGGTGGGAGCATCGCTGCGTTCATCCAGCGTCAACCTACTCCAGACTACCGTCAACCTGTGCCCGCGCATCGCTTGACGATCTGTGAAGCTCCCAACAAGACCGTCTACTGCCAGCTCGAACTGAGTCACGCGCTGATTGATGGTACCTCCATGGCCCTCCTGGTCCGTGATTTGATTTCTGGGTACGAGAACACTCTCCCCGCAACACCGGCCCCACTCTATCACGACTACATGGCCTATCTTGCCTCTCGCCCTGAGGATGAAGCCCTGGCTTACTGGACCGACCGACTCGCCGAGGTCCAGCCCTGTCACTTTCCTGACCTGCAGCCAGCCCTGTCGAGCAAGGAGGCCTTTGAGTCGCACACAATCCACATCGACCGCGAAGGCCGACTTAAGCGGTTCTGTGAGGCCCAGAATGTCACTGTGAGCAATCTGTTCCAGGCCGCTTGGGGTCTTGTGCTTCGCGCCTACACCGGTCATCCCGAGGTCTGCTTTGGATACATGGCCTCGGGCCGAGACATTCCCATGGCGGGCATTGAGGAAGCAGTAGGACCATTTATCAACCTGCTCGTCTGTAAACTGGACGTCAGCGATGCAGTGGAGGTGCAGGAACTGCTGCAGACCGTGCAGTCCGATTATTTGCAGAGTCTGCCTCACCAGCAGACCTCCTTGGCTAAGATCCAGCACGCCCTTGGCAACCATGACGTGGCTCTCTTCAACACCATCTTGTCGCTTCAACGCGAGCCCCCGCATGGTCCGCCTCCTCAACTGGAATTCCGCATCGTCGACCAGGTTGACCCGACCGAGGTAAGTAATTCACTCACTCTTTTCCCGACCTTTGCCGGCGGCTGACTATAAGCTAGTATGACGTGGATCTCAACATCACCACCGGGGACGCAGCGGGCGTGGAGGTTCACCTAACCTACCGCACGACGATGCTCAGTCAGATCCAGGCCAACAATCTCCTCCAAACCTTCACTAATATCTTGCTGGCCTTGACTGCCAGTGCTGATCGGCGTCTGTCCAACTTGGAGATCGCCTCCACCGAAGAGAACCAACCCTCCCGGGCAATTGAGCAGGCTTGGTCGACGGCGGTTGAGGCATCAGTGCCTGAGCTTATTGCTATACATGCGAGCAAGCAGCCCACCGCTGTCGCTGTTCAGTCTGCAGATAGCCAAGTCACACTGACGTATCAGGATCTGGATCGCCGAGCGTGTGCCTTGGCTGGTCATCTGAGCACCCTGGGTGTTGGCCTCGGCGATGTGGTCCCCCTCGTTTTTGATCGCGACCCCTGGGCACTGGTGGCCATGCTAGCCGTGCTGCAGGCGGGCGCAATTGCCCTTCCTCTCGATCTTTCGGTCAGCAATATCCAGAGCTTGCGTGACAGATTGTCGGCTGCGAAATGCAGTGTGATGCTGTGCGGAGCTGAGAAACATGCGGCATTGTTTGACAACGAATCTGCCTTCACTCCAATGATCGTTGATTCCACCACAATTCAAAAGTGGGATGAATCTGCTAAATCGGACAAGCTTGATTACCCTTCGGCCGCAGCAATCGCCGTCGCTGTGAAGGACGGGACAGACTGGGCCTTACTCACCCATTGCGCCATCAGCACCGTCGCCACACAGCTGGGCCCTGTCGCTGGATTAGGGCCAGCTGCTCGTGTGTTGCAGTTCAACCCGGCTACCTCGCCCTTCTACCTCGTTGAAACACTGTATTCCCTGGTGGCAGGTAGTACAGTTGTCATTCCGGCGGCCGGTGATGTTAGTTTCACTGAGGCTGTCCGCGACTCCCAGGCGAACTGGGCCCTAACCACTCCAACGGTGGCTGCCCTCACCAACCAAACTCAAGTCCCGTCCCTCAAGACCTTGATGGTGGCCGGCGAAGAATTTGGACCTGCTTTGTGCGCCCAGTGGAATGGAGTCAACTTGATCCACCCTCATGGACTGATTGATTCTTCCGTCTGGCTTTCTTTCATGGGTGCTTCAGCTGGCAGCGACACCCTTGTACATCTTGCAGCACCGGCTGTAGCAAGGACATGGGTTGCGAATCCGTTCAACGGCGCCGCGGCGCTCACTCCTGTGGACTGTGTTGGACCTGTACTCGTCGATGGGCCGGTCGTTCCTCAGTGCCGTCTCCTCAGTAAAGCCCAAGAGACATCTTCCACTGACAAGGTGACATGGTCGCCGGGAACGACTGTCTATCACACTGGCCAAGTGGGGCGACGGATCTTCGAGCAAGAGAATATCTCTCTCGTGTCGCCTCTCCAGGCCATCAATGGCCACGCCACTAATCTAACGGCTCTTGAGCAGCAGGTTCAAGTGGGACTGCCAGTGACGCAGCATGCGGTGTTATCGATCATGCGTCACAGATCGACTGACAAGGTGGCGGTGTTCGTCATTGACCGCAGCAGGACACCACAGACCTCAAGTACGTCATCTACGCTGCTGCTGCCTGTCTCGGAATCTCAGCAGCAATTATTCTCGGAGTTGAAGTTTTCGCTCCGGGCAGCTCAGCTCCCGGAGCCTCTGCTTCCATCTCTCTTCCTCCCTCTCAATAATCTCCCCTTGACCCATGACTATAAGGTGGATCGTGAGGCACTGCAGCAGCTGACGAGCACCCTGTCTGAGCTCGAGCTGCAGGCTTATTCTCTCGCCCCCGTCGCCGCAAAAGCTAGTAGACTGACAGCTAACGAGCAGCTCTTAGCTGACCTCTGGGTGGAGGTCCTGCATCTGCCCGATCCTCAGGGTGTCGGTCCCTCTGACAGCTTTTTCCGATTGGGAGGAGACTCTATTGGCGCGATGCGTCTCGTGGCCAACGCCCGTAACCAAGGCTTGTCGCTGACAATGAACACTATTTTCCAACAGCCCACTCTCTCTGGCATGGCCAAGGAGCTGCGGGTGTTGGCACCCCACGAGGACCGCCCCCTCGAGCCATTTTCTCTGCTACCCACAGACGTGGATGTTGAGCGCCTTGTTGCTGAAGCTGCCCAGCAGTGCCAGATCGAGGATTCGAAGTCCATCGAGGATATCTATCCCTGCACACCGCTGCAGGAGGGTCTCATGGTTCTCACCAGCCAGGATCATACTGCATATGTGGTTCAGGAGGTGTTCTCACTGCCAGGGAACGTCGATCTGTCCCGGTTCCAAGCAGCCTGGGAGGCCGTTGTCGCACGCAGCACAATCCTGCGTACGCGCATTATCAACACCCCCGAGGGCGCTTTCCAGGTTCTGCTCCTAGAGAAGGGCATTGCCTGGGAATCCGGAGCTGACCTGTCCGCCTATTTGGCCCGGGATTCGGCCCAGTCCATGAGCTACGGTCAGCCCCTGGCACGCTATGCCATCCTGACTACCCCCGAGCAGAATCGTTACTTCGTCTGGACGGCGCATCACGCCGTGTACGATGGCCTCACTCTGCCCATCCTGGCCAAGCAGGTCTCCGCCGAATACAATCAGGAGATCGCCCTTCCCGAAGTGCCCTATAATCGCTTCATTGATTACATTCAGGGCATCAGCTCGGCCGCTGCCACCGAATTCTGGACCACGCAATGTGCTACCCCGGCTACAACGTTCCCTGTACTGCCGGGACGTAGTTTCCAACCCACTCCAGACCAGACCCAGCACCACTCGGTCTCGCTCACCCGCTCCCCCTCCGACATCACTTTGCCGACTGTTCTGCGTGCTGCCTGGGCGGTTGTCCTGGCCCAGCGCACGGAGTCAGAGCATGTTAGCTTCGGCCTCACGCTTTCTGGACGGAACGCGGCGTTGGCCGGTATCAATCAGGTCTTGGGTCCTACCATTGCCACCGTCCCTGTACATATCCAGGTGCGCGAGAATCAGTCGCCGCGGCACTTCCTCAGAGCCGTGCAACAGCAAGCCATTGACATGATCCCATTCGAGCACACGGGTCTCCAGAACATTCGTCGTATGGGCGATGCCGCGCGTGAGGCCGTGGACTTCCAGAATCTCCTGCTCATCCAACCCGCCAGTGCGCCCATGGATGGCTCTGACTTCTTGGGCTTAACGCCTGTTGCGGTGGAGAAGGAGCAGTCCGATCCCTATCCCTTGACGGTGGAATGTAACCTGCTCGAGAGCGGCGTTGAGATCAAAGCTCAGTTCGATAGTCACCTGATCTCCCCGGCCGAGATGCGCTCTATTCTTCAGCAGTATGCTCGCACGATTGAGCGGTTCAATGCAGTGCCTGAAGCAACGGATGATGAGAATGATGAGGAGGAGCAGACTCTGGATTCAATGGGTACACTCAGCCCGGAGGATCTCCAGCAGACCTTGGCCTGGAATGCCAATCGCCCTCCGTACGTCAACTCGTGCGTGCACGAACAATTCGAGGAACAAGTCCGTTTGCGTCCGGATGCACTGGCGGTTTCCTCGTTCGATGTCGAACTCACCTACCGCCAGCTCAATGTCCTTGTGGACTCTTTGGCTACCGAGTTGCTGGCGCGAGGAGTTCGGTCGGAGATGAAGATTCCACTGTGTTTCACCAAGTGTTCGTGGACTATTGTGGCCATGTTCGCTGTCATGAAGGTCGGTGGCGTGAGCTGCATGTTCAATCCGGAACATCCCAGCAGTCGCATCCAGTTGCTCCTGGACGATCTCGATGCCCGACTTGTTCTTTGTGATCCTGAGTCGGCCAAGATGCTGTCCACCCTGCTGCCATCTGAAGGGGTTCTCCCCGTGGATGGCGACTATCTGCGGTCGCTTCCCCCGGCCACACCACTTTTACTCGAGGGTCTCGTTCATCCCACCAACGCTGTTTTTGTGGTGTATACCTCTGGTAGTACCGGTAAGCCCAAGGGCAGCATCCTGGAACACCGCTCGTTAGTTACTGGATTACTCGCCCACGCGGGTGCCATGGGCATCGGTCCAGGCACTCGCACCTTCCAATTCGCCGCCTACACCTTCGACGTGTGCTTTGAAGAGATCATCGGATCTTTGATGCTGGGAGCCTGTATCTGCGTGCCCAGCGAGGCGGAACGCATGAACGCCCTAGCAGATGCCATGGCTAAGTACCGGGTGACGTGGACGGAGCTGACTCCCACTGTTGCCAGTCTCCTTCTGCCCAGCAGCATTCCCACCCTGCAGACGCTGGCCCTCAGTGGTGAATCTCTCACGCAAGATGTTATCCAGCGCTGGGCTGGGGCGGTGCAGATTATCAATACCTATGGACCCAGTGAATGCTGTGTTTCGACCACCTGCAACCTTCACACCGCTACCCTACGCGATCCCAGCAACATTGGCCGGGGGTTGGGCTGCACGACTTGGATCGTCGATCCAGACAACGTTGACCGTCTGGTGCCCATCGGTGCCGTTGGAGAACTCCTCGTCGAGGGTCCCATCGTCGCCCGGGGCTATCTGAACGAGCCGGAGAAGACCGCCGCTGCCTTTATCTCTGCTCCGGTCTGGTGGCCTACAGACTCCTACCCCAGTGAGCGAATCTACCGCACCGGTGACCTGGTCAAGTACAACCCGGACGGCACGATCAAGTTCATCGGCCGCAAGGACACTCAGGTCAAGCTTCACGGTCAACGCATTGAATTGGGCGAGATCGAGCATCGCTTGCGCGCCGCCTGTGCCGACGGCGATGAGAGCAGCTCCCATCAGGTGGCCGTCGAGGTTTTGACGCCCAAGTCCCGCGGAGGAATCAAGATCCTCACGGCATTTATCTGTGAGAGTGACGCCGTGGCGGACGACAACGAGGAGGGCCACTTCTTGCTACCTCTGGAAGATCAAGAAGGAGGACGCCCGCAACGATTTTGCGACCTCCAGGCTCGTCTCCTTGCTGTTCTACCACGTCATATGGTGCCCCAGCTATTCATTCCCGTTTGCCACATGCCATTGTCTCCTTCGCGCAAGCTCGAACGAAAGAGGCTGCGCGCTGTTGGAAATGGCCTCACCCCCGAGCAGCTGGCCTCGTATGCCCTAACTCAGGTGGCCAAAACGGCTCCCTCCACTGCCACCGAGACCGCTCTGGCGGACATCTGGGCCCGTGTCCTAGGCACCAGCCGCTCTACCATCGGTGTCCAAGACAATTTCTTCCACTTGGGAGGTGACTCCATTGCCGCCATGAAGGCTGTTGCTGCCGCGACGAAGGCTGGTCTCCCACCGCTCAGCGTGGCCGACATCACTCAGTCTCCGACCCTAAGTGCGATGGCCGCATCGATGGATCATGCGTCCGTTCTTGCGCAGCAGGCCGGGGGCGAGACAGCAGTGCCCGTAGGCCCTGCTCCATTCAGTCTACTCTCCCCTGAAGAGGTTTCAGCTGTCCTCGTTCAAGCTTCTACGCAATGTGCGGTAGCCATCGACGCCATCGAAGATATCTACCCTTGCACTCCATCGCAAGAGGCTCTCATGGCGCTCACCGCGCGTGATGACACTGCCTATGTTTCGCGCTCGGTCTATCGCTTGCCTTTGCACTTGGACCTCGAAAAATACCGACAGGCGTGGGAGCTGCTTGCCCAGCGCCAGGCCATCCTCCGCACACGCATCGTCTACTCCGAGGATGCGCGATCGTTCCAGGTTGTGGTCCGCGAGCCCTTGGTGTGGCAGGAGCTGTCTGCTGACTCTGTGACGGCGTATGTTACGCGCGATCAGCGTCTCTCCATGCGCCACGGCCAGCCCCTGATGCGATTTGCTCTCCTAGCTGCTGAGACAGGTGACGATTCTCGGCCTGTGCTTGTGCATACCGCGCATCATGCTGTATATGATGGGTGGAGTGAAGCTAGCATGTTTGCTGAAGCCGAGGCCATCTACCGTCATGGTTTGTCTTCGCTGCCTCCAGTCACCCCGTACAATCAATTCATTCACTACCTGACTACTACCGTTGATCCCGCTGCCTGTGAAGCCTTCTGGCGCACACAGCTGGACGGCGATCTCCCTGCCCTTTTCCCTGCCCCTTTCCCCGCTGTAACTGCTTCAGCTGCCACTCCCCGTCCCAACCGCTCCCTCTCCTATCGAATTGACCTTACCCGCACTCCTTCTACCCCCTATTCCACTCCTACAATTCTCAAAGCCGCCTGGTCTCTATTACTGGCTCGGTACACCACCTCCGATGACGTCCTATTCGGTCATGTCTTGTCAGGCCGGACCATCCCGCTCCCGGGCGTGGCGGAGATGATGGGCCCGACCATTGCTACCGTGCCAGTGCGTGTGCAGCTCTCTCGGGCAGAGAGCATTGATGCTTTCCTCCGTCGCCTCAGAGACCAGGCTCAGGCGATGGCTCCCTTCGAACAGATTGGACTCCAACATCTTCGTCGTCTCGCCGCCGAGCCGATTGACCTTGGCCATCTTTTCTTTATCCAGCCCAGTCTTGACTCCTCTGACGAGGAATTGGGCCTGGAGCCTGTCACAGCGACTGACTACGAGTTTGAGACATACCCCTTGATCGTAGAGTGCCAACTGGGCGCCACCACCGATGATGACAAGCTTATTGTGGAGGTGAAATACGACGACACTCGCATTGCCCCGACGCAAATGAGCTGGCTGCTCCAGCACTTTGAGATGCTGGTTCACCAGCTCTGCGAGCGGCCATCGTCCACGCCCTTGTCGGATCTCACGCTGACGGGGTCAGCCAATCTGCTTCAACTGCAGCAGTGGATGGGATCTCCTGTGGCCCCATTGGCAACAACACTCCATGAGCAATTCAGAGCCCAGGCGCAGGCCCATCCGGACCGGGTTGCCATTGCCGGCTGGGATGGCTCTCTTACCTACCGTGAATTAGAAGATTTTTCTACGCGGTTCGCTCGTGATCTCGTCGCTTTGAACCTTCGCCCTGGTACCCCCGTGGGTGTAGTGTTTGATAAATCCTGCTGGGCCGTTGTCGCCCTCCTGACTGTGCTGACCGCGGGTGGTGCCTGTATTCACCTGGACCCTCAGCATCCCATGACACGATTGACTGAGATCGTTGCCGATACCGGGCTGCAGCATATTCTCGCTGCGCCCCAGTATGCTTCTCACCCAGTCCAGCGGCTACCTGTGCGCCATGTGCTCGTGGTGGATGCCACCACTGCACGCAAACGGCCATCCCGTTCCTTCGCGGCCGCCAGTCTTCCTCGTCTGCCGGTTGTCGAACCCACCTCCCCTGCCTATATGACCTTCACCTCGGGCAGTACCGGCAAGCCAAAGACTGTGGTCATTGACCATCGCGCCATTTGCACCAGTATCGACGCCTTCACCTCGGCGCTGCACCTCAAGGCGGAGTCCCGGGTCCTGCAGTTTGCCGCGTACACCTTCGACATCAGCTATGCTGAAATCTTCGCCCCGCTCCTGTTGGGAGGAACGGTCTGTGTGCTCTCTAATGCGGACCGCCTCAATGACCTGGCCGGTGCCATGAAGCGACTGGGTGTCAACTGGGCCTGTCTTACGCCCACGGTTGCCAGTCTCGTGCAACCAGCCGAGGTGGCCTCGTTGCTACAGACCCTTGTCCTGAGTGGCGAAGCGCCCACCGAGGAGAATCTGCGCACCTGGGCCGGTCAAGTTCCCAACCTAATCAACGCCTATGGTCCTAGTGAAGCGTCTGTTTGGTGCGCTGCTGGTCCCTTCACGCGTCCGGATGATAGCTGCACTGATATCGGCGTGCCGGTTGGGTGTCGCCTGTGGATTGCTGAGCCGGACAACTTGCACCGTCTCACCCCCTTGGGCTGTGTTGGTGAACTGCTCGTCGAGGGTCCCATCATGGCTCAAGGCTATCTCAACAATACCCCCGCAACTCGCGCCGCATTCCTTAGCGATCTGGCCTGGATGAAGGAGGTGCAGCCCCAGCCTCTCCCTGGCTTCAATCGCGTCTACCGCACCGGTGATCTGGCGCGTTACCTGCCCGGCGGTCGCATCCAGTATCTCGGTCGCGCCGACACTCAGATTAAGGTCTACGGGCGGCGCATCGAGCCCCGTGAGATTGAGCATCACATCCAGACTCACCTGCCTGACACTCACACCATGGTCGACAGTGTGACTCTGGTCAACCGTGGCAACCAGAAGGTGCTGGTGGCCTACCTTTTCCAGGAATCCGGTCCCATGCCGGACATGGAGCTGGCCGTGCTGGCACGGCCTCTCACGCCGGCGCTGCAGGAGACGCTTCTCGGCCTGCAGGCGGCCCTGCGCGCCCAGTTACCACACTACATGCTGCCCGCCCTCTTTGTTCCCCTGCAGCTTTTGCCCACCAGTGCCGCCGGCAAGACTGACCGCAAGCTGCTCGGCCGGGTAGTGAACGCCATGTCTGAGTCTCAACGCGAGAGCTATGCCCTACAATCCCTTTCCCGTGCGGCCAAACGCCCGCTCACCTCAGCCTTGGAGCGCCAGCTGGCAGATCTCTGGGCCACCGCGCTCGGAATTGATGTCACCTCCATCGGGGCAGACGATAGCTTCTTCGGTCTCGGCGGTGACTCCATGGTTGCCATGAAGGTGGCCAGTCTCGCCCGTGCCGCTCAGCTGAGCTTGACCGTTGCTGATCTCTTCAACCATCCCGTTCTCGCCAGTCTCGCGGCTCAACTCTCCACTGCCGCTTTCCAGGATGTCTCGATCGCGACCCAGGATGGAGCACGAACCCTGACAACCAACCCTGTGCTGGACCTGGCCTTGGCAGCGGCCCTCGCTCCTCAAGTGGGCGTTGATGTTAGCAGCATCGCCGCGATTGCAACGACCACCGCCTTCCAGGACCATGCTCTGGTCGGTCATCTGACCGAGTCTCGCTGGATGCTGAACTTCTTCTACTTTGATGGTTCTTCGCCCTCCCTCGGCAGCTCAAATACCGAGCTGGAGCAACGTCTCCGCCGGGGCTGTGACGTTCTGGTCCAGCAGTTCGACATTCTCCGAACCGTCTTCGCGTCGCATGCGGGCCGGTTCTGGCAGGTCGTGCTACACCAGCTGACGCCTCAATTCCGCGTCGATACCACCTCCGACCTCGATACCTTCACCAAGCAGCTGTACGCCGATGGTCTCAAGGCCGAGAACTTCCGGCTCTCCGAGCCTTTCGTGCAATTCGTGCTGGCTGTGCAACCGGATGGAAAGCACCGCCTGTTGATGCGCCTGTCCCACGCGCAATATGATGGTGTCTCGTTGCCAACACTCTGGGATGCCCTGCAGCGCGCCTGCCAGGGCGAGAATGCTTCTTTCCTCCCCCCTGCACCTTTATTCCAAGAATTCCTCCACACCGGTTCGACGTCCTCGGCTGCCACATTGGCGCACTGGAAGAGTTTCCTGTCTGGTGCTCCGGAAACCCGCTTCGTCACCTACAGCAAGCCCGCACTCCACGACGCATCCCGTGCGCAAGTCCTGCAAGTCACCCGCCGCGGCATCCCTCTGGTGTCCATGCACGACAAGAGCATCACTCCGGCGACGGTGATCAAAGCCGCCTGGGCCGTGCTCCTCGCCCGTCTCGCCGGCTCGACCGATGTCACCTTCGGCCACACCGTCGCCAACCGCAGCAACAGCCCACTCCCCGGAGTCGACAAGGTGGTCGGCCCGTGTCTGAACGTGGTCCCCATCCGCGCGCGTCTGCACGCGGGTCAAACCGTCCTCGAGCTTCTGCAGGCGCTACAGCAGCAGCAGATCGCCAACATGCCCCACGAGTCCATGGGCTTCCGGGAAATCATCCGGGACGCCACCCACTGGCCGCACTGGACGCATTTCAGCAGTGTGGTCCAGCATCAGAACATTGATGCGGTGGACGACGCCGAACTGGTGCTGCTGGGTGATGCGACGGATTTCACTGCCTACACCCCTGGTTTCCTGGGCGCCGAGCTTGATCTAGTGGATGTTTCCATCCTCTCGACCCCGGTGCCTGCTGCCCGCGGCACGACTGTCGTCAACCTGGATCTGGTCACCTCCACGGCGGTAATGGCCCCCTTCGCGGCGGAGTTGTTGCTCGATCAGCTGGTCAGTTTGCTGCGGAGCTGGGCGGCGTTGCCGGTTGAGAAGATGCTGGCCTATGCGGCGGGCGATGAGAGTCTGCCGGCTTTGCTTCCTCTCGCGGCGTATACTGACGATGTGGTGGAGATCGAGGTCCCATCAACATCGGATGACTTGACCAAGATTCGGGTCGTCCAAGAAGCCGTGCAGCGGGCGTGGCGGTCGGTGTTGCCTGGGGTTGACGCGGTGGATGATTTGACTCATGATCTTGACTTCTTCGCTGCGGGCGGTGATCTGGTGCAGATGGCACAATTACTGACTCTGCTGCAGGCGGATGATGAGCTGAAGGCTGCGCGCGGAGTGAGGTTGGAGGCTTTGGTCAAGTGTTCGTCGAGAGAGAAGATGGTGCGGCTGTTGCTGTAGTTGACCCTCAGTCCTTGCTTTGTGTTTGTAATTGTTTTGCTTCTAGATTTTGACTCTTTTGTGTCCTTGTTGTCTTTCTTTCTTGCTGTACTCGTTGCTGTTTGATTTATGCTTGGTTTAGTGTCGTGGCGATGTATCTATAAGTTGAACTACATGTGTTTTCCATACCAAAATCCTGATATAATTGGGATGTTTTTTTTCAAGATTCATTAGACCTCGCTGTTTCTATATTATGCTCAGTCGGGTGATTGAAAAATAAGTAAAATTGTCAATACGATTTGCAGTGAACATGAGTCTGTTTCAATGCCTGATTCAAATGCCTTGTCTCGCGTCTCCGGCAGCTACATCAAAAAATGATCTATATTCCTTTTTTAGGCAGCCTGGCGCCGAAAATTATAGTGGTGTAGAAATGATTCAAATTATAAGGGGCATAGAAGAAAAAAAGAAAAAAGAACTAGGTCCACCCTTTTTCCATCATCATTTGCAGATAGAAAGGAAATCAATTGAAGCAGATTTAAAAAGGTCCAAGAGTATTAAGAAAGTCAACCGAAAAAAAGCTAGCTACACTAGCTAGGTCATGACATCCTCCTGCTGCTGCTGCTGCTGCTGCTGCTCTCGGTCCTCCTTGCTACCAAATTTTAACAGATCCAAAACCTCCGCGACACCCCCGACCCCCTCGGCGTCCAGAATCTCCTCCCCTACATCTTCCAATCTCAGCAGATTTCTGTCCCTCTTTTCCTGCAGTCCTTCCATGCGTTGTTCATACGCCCGTTTCTTCTCCCGCAACCCCTCGACCACCTTGGCCACCACCCCAGCATCCCACAGCCCCTCCCGCCTGGGCAACCGCGGATTCTTCTGCAACAGCAACAATGCATCATCCACCGTGCGAGGGTCATGACTCTTCAGACAGATGAAATAGAGCCCTGCGATCAGCTGGGTGGAGAGGGTGAAACTGAAGGTGCCACCCGCACCCGCACCTGCTCCCTCTCCACCCCCATGCCCATGGGCTGTCCCTCTATCGGACGGCGGAACAGGACTGCCGGGACTGTTGATATCGTTGTCGCTGCTGCTGCTGCTGCTGCTATCGTCCCGCTCCGGCGTAACGGATTCCCTGGCCCGCCCGCCCAGAAGGAGGATGATATTGTCCAGCGCGGCGCGAAGCGTGGCGTCCATTATCGTGTCTGTATATGTTGGGGATGACGGTGATGGCTGCTCGTCATCATCATCATTATCATCATCAGAGGTGATCATGTTCTCGCGGATGATGCTGTGGGAGAGTTGGGCCTGAATCCGGTACAGGAGGAGGCGTTGGTGTTGCTGCTGGGGTTTTGTCGGGCCCTGCATGTGCATCTGTATGTGCGTGTGCATCTGCGGGATGGGTCTTGCGGGTGAGGACGGGGGTGCAGGATGCACAGTGAGGGAGGCGATAAACGTCTGGAAGTCTGCGTCCAGCGCGCGACGTTCGTGGAGTATGGACGGCGGGAGGCTGTCGAGGGGGTGGTTCTTATGCGAGACGTGGAGCATGAGGTGGCGGAGAAGACGGGCTTGGAGGGTTATTAGGGTTCTTTCTTTGGCATTGAGGTCGGTTGGCGAAGGCGCGGTGGGGTCGCTTGGGAGTTCGGGCGATGATGGCCCTGATGGCCCTGATGGCGGGGAAGCTGGGGATGGCGGTGAGGCCGGTCGGGGTCGCAGACTTTTTTCGGCTTCCCATTCAGCCGGACCTAGCAGCAGCACCAACGGCCGGGTATCGTTGTACATGCTCGCTTGGATATCCAATCTCGCCAGCAGGGAATTCAAATGCGGCAGGAGATCATCCGCGACCGGGTGTCCGTCGCGGCACCCCGGGCGCGCAGCGTCGTCATCGCGATACCTTCGGAACAGCAGCAGGGTCTGATCGAGATGGCGGATGGCGGCCTCGGCCTCGCCAATTAATGTTTCAAAGGCGTAGAACAGCACCCCGCAGATCAGGGCAACCTCGTAGGAGGCGTGCGGAGAAGAGAGATGGCGGCAGACTTGACGGTGGGACTTGGCGATCAACTCCAGACTCCGCGGGGAGGGTTGTCGCTGTGTTTCCGGCGACTGTGGGCCACGGTCGCAATGATCGCGATAGAGCGCACTCAGCGTCACCAGCGCATGGCGGATGATGGGTTGCGTGTGGCAGCGCTGCAGGACCAGCTGCGTCCACAGGGTTGGGTCGGTTAAGCTGGAGAGACTCTGGGCGGCTTCGCAGCAGTAGAAATGCAGCAGTTCCCGATCGGCTTGACTGCCGGGGACGCGGAAGGGGATGTTGTAGGCTGTGATGATTGGCAATCGCCGCTGGTGGAGGGAGCTCGGTTGCTGGTCACGGTCCGGCTGCTGCTGGTGGAGCACGGCGTATCCCTCGCAGGTGCGGTTGGCACGACGACATCGCTGACACGTCGGCTTGGCTTCGTCACATTTCACACGACGGGCTCTGGATTTACGGTGAGTATTGTAGGTCGCAACTTAGGGTTAAGACGGGAGAAGCACTTGCAGGTCAGGCAGCCAGACCGGCCTTTGGGGGTGCTTCGACGCGAGGTTTTCATGGTGGTTTAGACGGCAAGTTGATAGTGGGAGGAAGTGAGGCTGAACGGAACCTAAAAAAAGGAAAACTAAACTAAAATATACGAGGAGCGGGGGGGGGAGGTTGGGTTAAAAGACCAGTATTGGTATGGTATGGTATGGTATGCCGTGGTTATTTATTCCAGGCGATTTGTCATATGAACACGGTTAAGTATTTATTAATATATATATGTACTATCGTCACCACCGATAGGCAACCACTACTTTTATTTCATTCCATTCCATCATCTTCATTGCTATGTTTCTAGCAGAATAATTAGTTAGTGTGGAGAGATGCAAGAACTGATTTCCCAACTCAGTGCCTTCGGGACTGCCAGTCAAGTTACTCTGCCTCTCATTCAGCACCCTTTGAACCATACCACCACGCTGCTGGCCGCGCAGTATGGGACTACCTTCAATGTCGAGGTGACCATCGCCGACCAGACCTTCCAGCTGCTGGTCGACACGGGCAGCAGTGATACTTATGTGGTTCGAAATGACTTTGTCTGCATCAATGAAACGACCAACCAAGAGATCAGCCAGGCTGCCTGTGGTTATGCTCCTCACGCCTACAACGAATCGAGCACGTATCGGCTAATCCCCAACCAGACCTTTGGCGTACAATATGGCAACGGCGTTGCCTGCGGAGTAATGGCCCGCGAGGACATCACCCTAGCAGGCATTACCGTTCCCGGACAAGCGATCGGAATTGCTGATCGCAGCCATCCGATGGGCGATGGGATCAACAGTGGCGTGCTGGGTCTGGCCTACCCATCCCTTACCTCTGCCCATCCGCGCAATCACACCGACAACACCACCTTCTGGTTCGACCGGGAGACCTATCGTCCGTTGTTCAACACCATGTACGAGCAAGGGTTGGTCGCGGAGCCCTACTTCAGCATTGCCCTCGCCCACAGCCCGCACAACCTCACCGCGGCCCCCGCGACGACCTTTGGGGGCTATCTCACCTTAGGCGATTATCCCCCAGTCGCCCACAATGCGACCTTTGCCAATGTCCCCGTGGAGGTCCTCAATAACATCCCTCCCAGTTTCACTTCGGGCAAGCGCACCCGCTCCTACTGGGCGTTCACTGTGTCCGCCGTGACCTGGGGCGAACCTGAAGCCGATGATTTCCCGCTCATCACAAACGCCACCGCCTTCCAGGCCTTGACCGATACCGGCAATGACTTCAGTTTTCTGCCCATGGCGGTGGTGGATTCGATCAATGCTTTGTTTGATCCACCCGCTGTCTATTCGGAGGCGCTGGGGTACTATCTCCTCGACTGTGATGCCCAGGCGCCCGTGTTTGGGGTCGAGATTGGGGGACAGACCTTCTATCATGAGGGACGAGACCTGATCTATAGGACCGAAGAAGGGTACTGTGTGTCGAGCTTAGCTGCCTCTGAAGATGTGGCCTACGAGGGGATTGTGTTGAATATCCTCGGAGTGCCGTTCTTGAAAAATGTGGTCTCCGCATATGATTTCGGAAAGAATGAGCTACGCTTCGCGCAGAGATTAGATTAAAAAAGATTGTGGATTCTTGTTCATTTGGAAGTAGATTTGGGAGGGGGAAGGGGGGGTTATGTTTGACGCCTCGGGCTTCTTCTTGGGATGGAGGCTGTCTACACGGTCAAGGTAGAAATGGCTGGGAGTTTTAGAGGATTTGACAGTGTGTTCTCATACATTGGGAACTGGATTCGATGATAGTGAGCGCCTTTTTATGATCAGAATCCAACTATATACACATAAAGCGTTATCTGAACATTCGGGACTTTCTCATGCAAAATGTCACGGTGACATGGAACCCACCCACAATTTAGAGTGCGTCGAAGGCGAATTAACTACAATTCTCTTGTAGCTTTGGTGGCTATGCTAAAGAAGCTTGCCAAATTGCGCGAAAAGCTTTGTCCTTGATGAGTGTACCTTTTTCGGAGCGTATGTATTGTACTTGAGCAAAGGAAGAGGCAATCAATTCTTAAAATCGTCGCCTGCTGAGTTTTTTAGTTCTTTCTGATCAACATACAAACCCAGATTTCTCTCCATCTTACCATCGGCGGTAATCACAAGCCTTATGACAGAAAATGAGTTAGTTTTTATGTCGATAGAAGAATCCAAACTCGGTGTGGATCACAGCCCTAACTCAGACCGACACACATTATGTGCCACGAGGACGGCGTGGTCGCTGAACATCGGTTTCGGGATCGTGTGCGAGGAGTTGGCAGATGCTTGGTAGGCGGTCTGCTTCAAGTTATACAGCTGCTGGTGCGCCCGCGAGAATGCCATCGTAGTTTTTCGGGCACTTCTGTATATTCTTTATACTCTATCGGCCACCGGTCGAGCATCTATAGAAGTAGCTGTAATCTACGGCCGAGTTATATTAGTTTTGAATTAATAATTTCTTCAAAATAGTTGTTCTATACCAGGCTCGGTAGTCTTAATCGATTACGGCTTCAGATCGGCTAATAGCCCAGATCTCTTCAGTATTGAAACTAATATGGCTTACATTACTCGACAGAGTCGCAAAGCTGTAGTGGGTAGTGGATGCTAATACCTATATCGACCTAGTTAATGCCGCCACCGGCAGCAGCTGAGCTGTATATAAGTTAGCAAAGAATATAAAAACAGTCTTATAATATATACAGCAGGCGACCGTTCCAACTATACAATAAGATTAGTCCAACTAAATAACTAAAATTGTTCTCGAAAGCTACGTTCATCTGCATACTATATTCTTTAAGTAGGTGAATAGAATACATAGAAAAATAGGTATAGTTTTATTAGATTAAATGTTCTATTAACAGGAATGTAGACTGCCTATTACATCTTGGCGTGCGTACCATTGGCATCAGTGTACTGTTGAAAAGTGACAGCCTTGCAGTTGACCGACTTCACCAGGGTGGCCGCTGCTGGTGATAATCTTAGGGCAGAACAGGAAATAATCACCAGAACTTCACTGCAGATTCCAATCATGACGCTAATAACGGTCCAGATGGAGGCATTGCTTTTGCGGGGCCCATTCATACTTTCGAACACGGACCCAGCCCTATTGTAACTGACGAATGACAAAGGTGGACTGCGCAATGGGCTACCGTCCTATGTGGCCCGTCTTGCAATAAGAGTGGGGGAGGAAAGGGGGAAGTCCCGAATGATTGATTGGTGATTGCGGGCAAACAATAGACAGAACTTATGGTGGAGAAGAGAAGGAAGCAAGGTTGAAGCTTGGCATCGATGCCTTCAGAATTAATTATTAATTCTAATATATCTAATTTGGAAGTTAGGACTTATCTTAAATAAAATTTTAAATAAAAATAATAAAAATAGTTAATATATCTTTTTTATTAATTTTATTTACTAAATAAATTAAGTTTTAATAAATTAATTTAAATACTTAAATTTTTTTATTAAATCTCCGTTTTAAAATCTGTTTTTCTGATTAGCTGACTTTATAAGTAGGGTATTTTTTAATTAAAACTAATTCTAAAAAAGAATTAGTAATATTAATTTTTTAAACTAATTTATTAAAATAATTTAAAGCTTTCTGGCTTGAATTCTCTAATCTATTATATTATTTTTTAACTGTTTTAGAAATATATATAAATATTTAGACAGTTTAATTGGTCTTTTATTAATAGTAGTAGTTATTATTAAATTAAATGATTATTTTTATTAAATATAAAATAATTTATTAATATTTTTAATTTAGTAAACTGGCATGCTATAGGTTTTTTTTAAATATTTATCTTTTTTATTTAAAAATAGTTTCTTTCTGGCTGTAATTAAGGCTGAGAGGATATTTATATAAAATTTTAATATATAAATTATTTCTTTAAATTTAAAATATAGATCTTTTTTTTAAATAAGTAAGGCGGAAAATAACTGTTTTATATTGTTATATTATTAATTAAATATTACTAATCTTTACTATTTTATTTTCTTTTTTAATAGAAGTAAATTTAATAAAAAAATTTAATAAATTATAAATATAGCTATCAGAAGCAGTATTAAAAGCCTACTGAAATAAATAATATATTAATAAATTTTCTAAATAAAAAGTCTGTTTATTAATTATTAAGATAATTTTTAATTAATTAATTAATTTATTATTAAATAAAAAAATATTTAATAAGCTTAGCTGTATTAATTAAATAAATATCTTAATTTTAGACTATTTTTAAAAATTTTTCTAAAACAGTTTAGGATTTTTTTCTTCAGACTTTTAATAAGAATCTCGGAGATTCTTATTAATATAGAAATAATTATTAAAATTATAAAATTTATTATTTTTTTTAAATTATATAAATAAGATTGATTTTTGTTTCTGCGATTCTTATTTATTAATTTATTTTCTTTTTAAAAAAGTTCAGTAGATAATTTTAAAAAATTCAGAAAATTCTTTCTTTTTTATTTTATAGTTAATTAATCTGGTCTGCTATATTACTATAAAATTTCTTATTATTTTTTGAATTAATTTAAAAAAGTTATATATTATCTAAATTAGATTAGATATTTTATTTAGTTTTAATTTTACTACTTTTAAATAAACTAATTTCTACTGATTTATATAATTTTTAATAGAATTTTTTATTCCTAACCGGAGCTTGGTATATTTATTAATAATTTCTTTTATTTAAAACTAATTAATAAGAATAATTCTAATCTTTAAAACTTTTAGAATTAAATAAGATCTTTTTTTATTAAATATAGTATATTAATTTTGTCTGTTTAATATAGAATTAATTAATTAATTTAATAAGATTAGTTCTAAAGTGGTTGTTTTTTATTTTTTAAACTAGTAGTAATAGTTCTCTTTAATTTTCTAATATAATAAATAGTCAGATTTACTAAAATCCGAAATAGAAGTAGTATATTGATTAATTTAATAAATTAAAAATAAAATAAATTTTTTAAAATAAATAGATTTAATTAGTAGATCTGGATTTACCAGCTTTTATATATTTTTATTAATAATAAATAATCGGATCTA